GCTAGCCTCTCGGATTCTTTTTTCTCGCGGTGATCCGCGATGTATTTTTTCAAGTATCCCTTCCGGACCATGTCTTCTATCTGGTCCTTCAGCTGGATACACTCCTCAGTGTTGTGGCCCGAAGAATCGTGGAACTCACACCACTGATTTTTATTTTTTCGCTGATACCACTCCGGGAGTGGTCTCGGCTTTCGGTAACTCTGCTCCTCCTTCGTCACACTGTAAATTTTGGCGCGTGGAAGAGAGAGCGGAGTGTAGGACTCGTATCTGCCTGTGTATGAGGCAAACCTGTCCTTCTTTAGGTCGCTGGCCGAAGATGGCTCCGAGGCCTTTGATTTTCCCTTTGCCTTATGGCCTTGGCCTTCAGACAAGGGTATTTGCCTCTGTTTCCCTCCCCCGGATTGAGGTTGGGTTTTTGCTTTATTCCATTCTTCGGCTCGGATGAACTTATCCGAAGCACTAAGAGCTTCCTCCAAGGTCTGCGGGGTATGCATGACCATGAAGTCTAGGAATTTTCCTGGCTGAAGGCCATTCTGCATTGCAAAAACAGCTAGCCCCTGGTCCAGCTGAGAGACGCTTGATGACTCGTTACTGAAACGGGTCAGGTAGTCTCGGAGGCTTTCAGTTTCCCCCTGTTGCAGACCCATGAGCTCTGCGGTAGTCTTCTCTCGGCGGTTTGCCGTGGAAAACTTGCTCCTGAACTTGGAGGACAGATCATCCCAACCTGTTATGGAGCCTTGCCTTACTCCCTTGGAGATCCACGCTTGCGCGACCCCCTTGAGAGTGGTTGGGAAATATTTGCACCAAGTCGCCTCGGATCTGGGGCAAAGATGCATATGAGTCTCATACGAGGCCACGTGGTCCTTCGGATCCGTGGTCCCGTCATATGTGATATGCGACGGTATTTTAACCGTGGGTACGCGCTCTTCCAGTATCCATTGCTCGAATGGTGAACTAGCGGGAAGCATAATGGCCTTGCCCTTGTTCCTGGCCGAAGGGACCGCGCTCCGCCCTCTTAGAGAGGTAGGAGTGGTTTTCGTCCCTGGCTGGGAAGTCTGGGCCTCGGCTGCAGGGAACGAGAGGCGACTACGCACGCTCGGTTCCTGGCCGCCGAGTCGGTCAAGGACGCTTCTGCGAGCAGTCTCGGGTTCCCGGCGAGTAGATTCTGGCCGAGAAGCTGAGCTGCCGCTCTTATGCGCTGCTGGTCTTGAGGATGAGGATCCTTTAAATAATTGAGAGTTCTTCTTCCTCTGTTTTTCATTTTTCCAAGAATCCTCCTCCCACTCTTCCAGCTCCCGGAAGGAAGGAAGCTTCCCACCGTCATGGTCTAACTTCCTCCGCTGATGCCGGGTATGCGGAGGAGTTCGATCACGAGGCGGTGGCATATTCTGTGCCCTCATTGCCTCCATGAGTACTGCCAGCGCTCTTGCCACCTCTTCCGAACTGGGCCCCGTCAAAGGGGTCCCCGGCCGAGTGTGGGCATGAGGCCGTGCAGCCGATGGTTGGCTTCGGGACACTGAATATGTCCTATGATCAGACTGACCCCTGCTAGACCGAGAGTGGTCCGGCCTATATTGAGAGTCATGCATTATAGGAGATAGGGAATCCTCCTTGTGTGATCCTCCCCCCGAGCCGGCACCCTTGGGAGAGTTCCGGTCCGGCGAGGGCGATGGTGTAGGGGTTTTAGGCTTTTCGCCCGCTCCTTGACGGAGGCTTTTGCTCTTGCGGTTCTTAGCCATGGCTGCTAAGATAATTGCAAGATGATCTTGGTTAGGAATTTGGCTTAAAGATTTTTGAAAGTCTTCCCCACAGACGGCGCCAAATTGTTTCGGTTGAAAACAATGGGACCTTGCCGAAGGTCCACTAAAATGGAGAAGACTGGATTCGATCCAAGCTGTGTTGGGCCGAAGGTTTCCTGCACAGTGAACACACGTAAACTAGCCTCGGGGGTGTTTCCGAGGAAGGCCCCTCCGATGCTAAAGTCAGTACAATGTGTAAAAAGGAAGACACTATGCAAGAGAGTTTGTAGCTTGAGGCTTTTGTGGAGTATTTCTCAATGCAAGAATGAGCACATGAAATTGGAATAATCGGTGTATGAGATAATGTATGTGATGATGTATGTGTTTGATCTCGTGTCTGATCTCTCCTTGAATGTGTTAATATGAGGGCTTTTATACCTCATCATATTTGGAGAGGTTGGGCTTTAGCCCAATTGGCTTACTTTGTGGGCTGACTTTTGACTTTTGAGCAATTGGAGAGTTGAACCTTGACCTTGGGCTTTTAATTGGATCATTTAGTGCTCAGGCCCAATTTTGACTAAATTGGACCCAAACACTTAATTTAATGAAATGCTCTAATTTAATTTTCCTACAAAAACAAACATAAATATATATATAAAAAAAGGTCTTTTCCAGGCATTACTTGGCTGAATGTCTATGGTTTTTCAGGCAACATATGTCCAAGGTTTGTGACTTCAATTTCATTGAAAATGCTCATGCAATTATTTAATTTCTTACAAAAATTTCCTGTACAAAATACAAAAATTTCTAACCCCTGAATTTTGTGGTGTAGAATTGATAAAACCCCAACACCTAAGAAGTTTTCTGAAGATGGGATTTTCTGGTTCCGACTATATTGATGTTGTCAACTTTTATCTCCGGCTTTCATACAAAATGAGTGTATCGTCTAGAGATGGCTATGGACAGTGGGCCTTGATCCTAAACTCGAATTTCCTTTTATGAAGATCGAGTGCAATAACTCTTTCAAAAGGTTCAATGAGTTTATGGAAACTACCATGATGTTCGATAGGTATCGTAAGATTCACAAGGTTGACTTGAACTAACAATTTAAAAGTTTCATGAATTCGATAACTAGATTGTGTCTATTTTTTTTTAGTAATTAAGGATGTAGATGAACTTTAATTGGGTTTATTAGTTATCAGTCGTACTCCATACTTGCTTGTCTCTAGAAATTCTCGTGCGAATCAATGGAAAAAATAAGCTTAAATCTTTGCCAAATCTCTCCTACTGCTGTGAATTGGAAATCACTTCAAACAACACAAGATCTCACTCTAAGATAATAGGCATGACAATTTTTTTTTTTCACAAGATCGCTCACCATGCCTCACTAAACATTGATTACATTGGCATGGCAGTTTTTTTTTTGGCATGGTGAGAGATCTTATGAAAGAAATTGTCAAGCCAATTATCCTAGAGTGGGATCTTGTGTCGTTTAAAGTGATTTCCAATTCACAGTAGTAATAGGGGAGACTTGGCAAAGAGTTAAGCTTAATTTTTTCATTGATTCACACGAGAATTTCTAGAGGCAGCAAGTATGGAGTAGGATGATAATAAGGAAATCCAAAGTTTCCTCTACTTGCTTAATTTTTAAAAGAAGAAGACATAATGTAATTGTCGAATTCATAACCTTTTATGTGTGAGTTCAAGACAAACTTGTAAATCTTGTGAGACCTATGAAGCATCATGACTATTTCCAAATCTCGTTAAATCTTTTCAAAGAGTTATCAAACTCGTCATAAAGGAATTCGAGTTTAGTCATTGATGCCCATGTCCATCGCCATCTCTCAGACAATATACTCGTTTTATATGCTAGTCTTCAGATTGTTCCTACAATCCAATTATGAAGAAGATTATGGGTTGTGATTACCATGTCATTAAAATTTTGAAGAAATTGCGAAAAAAAGGAGAATTCATTGTATTTCCAAAAATTTGGTGCCAAATGTAGCTTTGTTGCAGAATTATGGGATCAAAATTCATACTTAGCACATGATTGGAAATTCTATGACTTTTATCAGAATGCTTGTTCTGGCTCCTCCTTTTGTTTGTATGTTTAATTTGTGAGTTGACAAACATTTTTGTTTGTTTATTTGGTGATATAGTTTTATAATAGCTTGTTCTTTGTTGTTCAGTCTTTTGTTATTCTTTTATTCTATCAGCTATGTTATCGTGTTCGATTGCATCCTAGCTCTTATTTACAACGGACTATCTATTTGTGAGCAGCTTTATTTTACTAGCTTCGACTGCTAAGGAGTGAGCTTTCCCAACTCTTTCTCTACTAACTTTCCTAAAAGTACAAGAGGCTAGATTATAGGCTAATTGCTGTAAATTAGCAATGATTGTTTTACACCCCGTTTATGCATCAATTTCTTCTCGTAGGCTCGTAGCATTTATCTGGATTAGGTTGCTGGAATCCGTCTCCACTGCTCTGCTGATAGATCCTCAATGCTTTTGATTGCGTCGAGGGCTGCTATAGCTTCTGCTGGTTTGTAATCGAGGAAATTGCAAAAACCTTGTTAGAGCGTTGTGATAAAACCTGATCCCCTATGAAGCTGATCTTTACCTGCTTTCCATTCCCCGTGTTTGTTTCCCTTCAGGCTTTTCCATGCTCCATCTATTATGGCAAGGATTAAGGACCAACCCTGTTCTTTAGTACTTGAGGATAAAATTCTTTCTGCTTGCTGTTGCTCTTGATTATAGTAGTCCTTAGGATAGTGTTTACACTGCTGTTAATCCTCCTATCTTGCGACCGGCCCATGATTTGCTTGACGCTAGAATGCTTTTGGCTCACATTTATTTCTTCCAAATATGCAGTCATTACGAAGAAGCCAAATGTTCCAAAACAAAGGGACTATGCTACAAACATAGCCGTAATCTAATGGGAGGACGTTGTTTGAGAATTGCTGGTCACTATGGTTTTTAAATAAAGGAAACTAGTTCTACAAGGCATATAAAGCATCAATTCCAACATGTTTTTTTCATTTTTCTATTAGCAGGTAAGAAAAAGCTACACTATCCCTAATTCGAATCATTTTGAGAATGTTTCTCAAAAACAAATTGATCAGAATAGTGTAAACCTTGAGGTAAGACTATTTATTAGAACAGGCATACTACACAAACATAAAGCAGGTTGCAAACATTTGCCTGAAAATAAAACAAGGATGGTATACTAATTAAAGCAATCTGAATAGTGAGAAGTTCAGATATAAAAAGAGATGTATCATGAGCTTTAAGGAGAAACTCACTTACAAGCAAAGAAATTATTCCATTGTACATATATGAGCATAAAGAACTGCAGAGAACAAAAACAACCCTCCCTATTGACCCTATAAACAAAAACCTCTAAATGGAGGATTGTTTTGTGAATTCGTCTTAGTAAAGTAGCATGCATTTCAGTTCGTTTAAAGTTAACAATGTAGGTAACTGATGCCTCATGATAAATCTGCTAGCAACAAACCTTTAAAGATTTACAGTAAAAATAAATCTACTTCAAGCTAAGGGAAACGGTTATGGTAATTTGTGACAATATGAATTCAACTAGCTGACTGGCAACAAAAGCATTGTGCACTTACCCATCATCACCCACTAGCATCGGAACCCTGGTTCATATTTTGATATGGGAATTTACTCTTCCTTGAGTAAGCAGCTTTGCATTAACACCAACATGATTTGCATAAATTCCATGAACCTCCACATATGGTAGTACAAACTTATTCACAAACTGAGACTCATTGAACTTCACAGCAGTACAAAGAGTAATATTCTTCTCAATCAAACCTTTCTCCTTCAAAACCAGCAAGACTTGATGTCTCGGCTTTACTCTCTTCTCCAAACTACAAGTCATGACAGGACTGCTTGACATCAGGTAAGCAGGCTGGTAACCCAGCTCACACATGAAAAAACCCAATTTCTTCTTAGTCATTGCTTCAGAATGTCCTAGGCAACTAGGAATTCTCCTTATTAGCTCCAAGAAATCAGATTGTGTCCATCCAAAGCTCTTATAAACTTGAAATTTAGACTCAATACTCTTCTCACTATGGTGCCTTAGGATTCGGACCGCATACAAGAACATGGTTGAGTACCGAGAAATCCCCAATCTCTGTTCAGCCCTAATCAAATAATTCATAAACAATAGAGGACTAGTAAAAAAGAATTCAGGTTCCTGCATAACATGCTTCCTGATTATATTATCTGAAATGCCATATCTTTTCAACAATTCAACGTTTGGAATCAATTTCTTATGATAACTCCACAAGCTTCCTCGGTGACAGTAATCATTCGACGAGCTAAGAGCCTTACACACATTCTCATCACCGCCCAAAACTTGCCTCAAAGTTTGGATTACAGGATTCAAGCGCAAACCTAACAATTTAGGACTTATGGATATAGTCTTAGATAAAACAGACACAGAAAGTCCAATTCCCTGAAGAAGCTCAAATTTGGGTTTTAGGGTTTTATCAACATTAGACAATAAAATTCGAGGTTGAACAAAGATGATCTTTCTAATCTGGGATTCATCGAAACCATTTTGTTTGAAGAAATTAGAGACTAAATAAGCATTACTAGCCCAATTACACCAATCAGTACTTACATTCTTTGCAGCAAGCCTGGTAGAAATGAAGAGAGATTGTTGGGAGGAAAACCCTAGAACTTCAACCAAGTAATTCGTCAAAGAAGAAGATGGATTAGCTTCAGCTTTGGAAGAAGATGATGTCGAATAGAGTAAAAGGCGCCGGAAACCATGGATGAAGATGCGAGCTTGGACGCCATTAAAGATGTTGCTCCCACATTTCAGTTTCATAATCTTCAGTGTGTAATAGTAACTTTTCCGAACCGTTAACCGATCCGATTGTTTTTAGGCTTTGACCTTGAGCTGAGCTGGGCCAGGCCAGGCCAAGACGTATAGGCTTGCAAACAACTCGTTTATGTGTTCTTCGTATTTGTTTATAACCCGATCAAGCCCTAACATACAAAGTCAGACCATAGAGGTTCAGGTTCAAATCCTACCAAGTGAGGGTACTTGGGGGTATAGATTCACTTATCCTTCCTTCCACCCCTAAATACCTAGCCCGTAAATGCTGGACTAAAAAAACCTTGTGATCTGAAAAAAAACAAATACTTCATTATTTGTATCAGATCTGAAATAAGCAAATACTTTTTCTTTTTGGTGTCTAGAGAGAAACAAGGTCGGGGTGAAAATCAATCTCAGGATAAAGCTCTAACCACTTGAGTTTTCCCTCACTCTCTCATATAAGCAAATACTTAATTATTACGCAATCTTTATAAATTAAAGTCACCTGATTAAAGTTGAACTCAACATAGCCTACAACTTAAATTGCTTCGACCCCTTATATGACAATTCACACAATCGACATATATGGACTTTTAGCAAACATGAGATTTAGTGTTAAGGCCGGGTCTGACCCGATCCAAATTTTTTTATCACCTCCACTCAATTGAAAAGAGCTCAATTTGAATCTAAATGACCGATTGCCACTTTCAGCTCCACTCTATATTGCTGTGAATTTCTGCTTTCTGAAGATTAAAACTGCAGAGTAGCGGGAGAATGCTTAAATTTCGCAGCAGCTTCAATGGCGTCCAATCTCTCAACTTCTCCTATGGTTTTCATCTCCTTCTACGCTATTCAACTTCAGCATCAATTTCTGGAGAAGCCAACCCTAATTTCGCGAATTACTTTGTTGAATGTCTAGGGTTTTCCAGGCAACATGCTCTCTCCACTTCCGCTAAGCTCGCTCGTTATCGACATATCCGAGGTTTCAAGAAGGTTTGTGAGTGTAACTCCAATTTCATTGAAAATGCTAATTCAGTTATTAAATTTCTTAAACAAATTGGTTTGGAACAATCTCATGTACAAGATGTTATAATTTCTAACCCTAGAATTTTGTTTTCTAATGTTGATAAAACCCTTATGCCTAAGAACGAGGTTTTTCTAAAAATGGGGTTTTCTAGGTCCGATGTTATTGATGTAGTCAAAGTTAATCCTTCTATTTTTTTCGCCGGTTCTATTATTGTTCCTTTACTTCAAGCTTTGAGGGAGATTATGAGTTGTGATTCCCATGTCATTGATATTTTGAAGAAATTGCGCGGTATGAGGCTTCATGGTATTTCTAAAAATTTTGTGCCAAATGTAGCTTTGTTGCAGAATTATGGGATCCCCATTGAATCAATCCGGAAATTCATGCTTAGAATGCCATTCACCTTTTCCCGGAAACCCGATATTTTTGAGGATGTAGTGATTAGAGTTGAGAAAGATTTAGGGATTGCTCGAGACTCTCCTAAATTCTTGTTGGGGATACATATGCTAGCCTCTGTTAATAAGGAGACGTTTAACTCGAAAATAGAAATGTTTAAGAGCTTTGGGTGGACTGAGTCTGATGTTTTAGCTCTTTTCAGAAGACAGCCTTCCTGTTTTGGGTTATCTGTTGCAACAATCAAGAAGAAGTTAGCTTTTTTTATGACTGAACTGGGTTATCAGCCTGATTCTTTAATATCGTGGTCCTTGTTGTTAACTTATAATTTGGAGAAGAGAATGGTTCCAAGACATATGGTGATCCTAGCCTTGAAAGAGAAAGGTTTGATACGGATGGATTACCCTTTTCATAGTGCCACGTCCTTGTCTGAGTCTCGGTTCTTGGAGAGGTTTGTGCTTCCATTCAAGGAAGTCCATGAATATTCCAAACATGTAGGTCTTAGCATGGAGGTGCTAACTCAGACACTACTGGAAAATAATCCTGATCGTGCCTGATGAAAGGTAAGTCCACTGGTGCTCAATGTAGCTGCTATATATAATTGGTTACCTTGATAGCACGTACATTTGATAATATATGATGAAACAGTGTTGATGTATCTTTACTTGTTAAAGCTAGATTTTGTGTACCGGCTGCTTTTTGTGTTTGTTGGATGCTCTGCATTGTTGTATTATGTAATGTTTCTATTTGTTAGTCCTTTTTTAGTATGAGATATTATAGCTCTTAGCTATTTGGCACTGGTTTACCTCATCATTAAGTTTATCAATCCCTTCCTTAAATTCTGTCCCAATATATAATGCTGCTAGAAAAAGGAAAAATAGATGAAGTAAAATATAATTTGAAATTTTTTGACAGCATGTTTCTATAGATCTTTAGTTGATCAAACATTCAATGAAGTGTAATTGGACTTTGGCTCTTTTGAGCGCATAGTAGGAAATGACTCATACGCAAGATGTACTGCTTGAAATTCAATATTTCTTCTTGTAAGCACATGATTGGAAGGTTTATGACTTTTATCAGAATGCTTGTTCTGGCACCTCCTTTTGTTTAAATGTTTTATTTGAGAGCTATAGAAATAAAACTTCTGAACAAAACCTTTTTTTTTTTATTTGTCTTGTGTTGTAGAACTTTAATACTCCTTAATGCTTGATCTTTGTTGTTCTTATTCTTTTATTTATTTATTTTTCTCTCTCTTCCCTTCTTTTCCTCTTTGGAGAGAACTTTAATACTTCTTTAAGTCTTTTGTCATTGGAGATATAGGTAAAGGAAGTTTTATCTGTGAACAGTTGAACACTTAGGAGTTGATACACCGTAAGTAACTAAGCTGGAGATCTCAAAATTCCTGCTTTTGTTTCATACACTTATTTTTCGAATTTAACTACAAAATGGAGGCTGCTAAAGCGGATTAGTCTTTTTTATGCTCAATCTTAAGGATCGCTTCAGCTTGTATTTTTAACAGAAGTTTTTGCATGCATCGAACTTAAATACTTAATGTACATTCGGTTATTGTATACCAAAAGCTAGCCATATTATTACAAAAGTTACCCTTAGTCCCACAAAAGTTATCCTCATTACATAGTTACTTTGATTCTCACAAAATTACCCTTAAACTATTAAAAGTTGCCCATATTACCCAGCTACTTTTATTCTCACAAAATTACCCTTAAACTATCAAAAGTTACCCATAAACTATCAAAAGTTACCCATATTTCTTTCGTTTTTTTCCCCGCCACATAGTAAATTATTTTACACCCGATTTTCGAACATTTGTCTCTTTTTTTATCTCTCGGCTTCATTACTTTAGACAACATTTGTCTCTTTCTAACATTTGTCTCTTTCTACTCTGTGACTTTCAAAGATCAAAACTTTATGTGTTTTGCATCTTATTATCTTTCTACTATGTTATCATGCTCATTAAACCACAAGTCTTTATCATTTGACAACGTACTATCTATATATGAGCAGTTTGTGTTCTTATAAGTGTCAAAGTGATCAGTTTAATGGATATAGTTCTTATGGCAGGTATAGTTATGTTTATTGTAATGGATTACTTACTCTCACTCACCCCCTAGGATATGTTATATGTAGGCATGTAGCCTATATGTACAAACGTAGCCGTAATTTAAAGATCTCAGCACACATGTACTATTTATTATTTAACATATCAAATATTATCTTTTGGTAAGTCAATTAAAGTTCAATATTTTGCAAGGAACGGCCCTAGATCTCCATTACGTGGCTTCACATGCAAGAAATAAGTAGTTACTATTTTGTTAAATTGCATTTTCTGTTTAGTTAATTAGTTTATAATTCAATAATTCTGTTATTAAGGGAATCTAAGTTTGTTAGGGGAAGAGTGTAGAATGGAAGTGTGTAGAAGCTCTAAGCAGTATAAATAAAGGTGCATGGGCATAGAGTAGGATATCCAGAAATCAGTATTGTTGAGCTTAGGCTTGTTTTGGGAGACTATCCTTCTCGAATTGAAGGAATCCACCATTGTATTGATCGGTTAATAGCTTTTCAATACAAATATCAAGTTTTATAATCCTTAATCTTCTGATTTTCCAGTAGCTAGAACTAGTTCCTAGCATATTTGTTAAACTTAAAGTTTAAATTCGGGATAATTAAGAATTGTAATTCACAATTCAATTTAATGATCCCATCTGGTGAAGGAGCTCTTAAGCTCATTCAATATCTCAGATACACATGTCCTACTCATCTATATATGGAACATCAATATAACCAGGAAATAAAACCGATATCTGGTAATGGTTCTGTAGGAGAAGATGTTTCCAGTAGTTGTTTGCTTTTCAATCCTTTGCTGTGCAATTGTTCACATTACTTTACATACCATGTGCATTTGATGGTTTCATGCTAACTCGAGCCAAATTTGTGTATGTTAGGTGCTCAAAAGCTCACCTTAATAAGTGAAAGCTGTATGTTCTTTGGTCAAAAGACTCAAAACTTCAGAAGATGAGTTTCAAGGTCTGAAGACTCCGGAAGATGATGATTCCCAGCTATGTCCGTAATGCTCTACATTCCCAGCAACTTGTGAGAATGGTAGCATTGATCGTCAACTTGTATTAATTTTTAATCCATCCAGATGTGATGTTGCTTGTAGTTGTGTCTTTTCATGCAAGGGGTGACCTTGTTTGAGAATTGCTGGTTATTGTGGTTTCCACATTTCATCTGTTGAGGGTGAATAAGAAAGAATATATGGATATTCTTCAAAAAAAACAAGAAAGAATATATGGATAAATTTGAGGGCTTGGAGCCTTGGATGCTGTTGAAGATTTGAGCATCTCAGCAAAAACTCTATGTTTTGCTGTGAAGATTAGTCAGTTTTCAAGGGATAACCTGGAATATTAAAGATGGTTGTTCTCTGGGTAAACATTTTCGTTTTCGTTTAATGTTGTATTAATAACAAATTTTTTAATAAGTGTAAAGATTAATAAGTGAAGGCAAAAGTATTATTATATGGAGTGTTAAAATCTAATTTAATATTCCTCAGAAAAAAAAAAAAAAAAAAAAATACATAAAAATAAAGGTACAATTTCATAAGAAAATTATGCATGATTTGAGTTTTTTAATTAGCATTTACATGTTGTGCCCTTACAAATTTCTAGTTTAACATTCTTCAATATCATCTTTGGGGACATTTATATATAAACTAGTTTTGTGCATCGTGCGCTACCCGGGTTGTTTAAAGAATTAAGACAAAACATTAAATCCAAATTTTTTTTATTATACAAAATATATTTATGTAAATCCTACGCGTTATACTATATCCAATTATTGCCTATGTAACGTGAAACTTGGCGAAAAATTAAAATGCCAAGTGTAAATTAGGTTCATATGATACTTATTGAAAGTTATAATTTAACATTTTTTTTAACACAATTGTAATTTTATTTTTTTACATATGAAATATTGGTATTTTATCGAAAATATAACTCTAAACCAACCATTTTATCCTCCAAAATTTATCCATTTTATTGAGAATAAAAACTCTAAACTAACTTCTTTATCCTATAAAATCTAACTACATCTATCCAATTTTTTATCCTAATAATAAAAAATCGAAAATTTTTTATTCTACAATATACATTCACATAAATCCTACATGTTTAACTATATCCAATCATTGCCTATGTGACACGACACTTGGCGAAAAATTGAAACGCAAGTGTCGCTGTCTCGTGGTTTGCCTAAAAGTTTAGCTTTGTATATTAGTTATATGTATATGATTTGTAAACTAACTTTTGGCCCGAACAATATCACAAGTCGTTATAATATAATTTGACATTACAATCAAGTATTAGTTCTTTCCTTCAAAAAAAAAAATCAAGTACTCCATCCGTTTTTTTTTTTATTTGCATCACTTTTCTTTTATGGATTTTTTTTAAATGCATCACTTTTATATTTAGTAACTTTATAATATATTTTATCATTTCTCTCTCTTACTTTAAACCCTACTCAAATTATTTTATCATTTCTCTCTCTTTCATGGTCCCCACTTAAACAATAAATGTGTATATTTTCTCTCACATACTTTCTCTTTCATGGTCCCCATCTTACTTTTACTATAATAATTTATTCACCCACTCAAAATATTATATTACTCTCCTATAACTTTGTGCATTCCCAAGTGATGCAAATAAAAAAAAAAAAACAGAGGGAGTATTAGTATACTCATTGTGGTTCGATTGATAGTAGTAGATGAGATTATTACGAGACATCAATACCTAAGGGACTGCCTGGAATGGGTGTAATGGGGGGGGGGGGGGGGTAACATAAGTAATAATTTTGGAATTTTTAAAAGTTTGGATCTAGGGTAATTAATCAGTGGGGTAACCTATTTTCCTAAAAAAGAGGTTAATAATTACCCATCTCTCCCCTAGCATAACTATTTCCCCCGTAAAAATAACTCTCCTCTGTTATACTATATCTTCCTTCTCCCTGCTACATACTATCTCCTTCACCTCCATATCCCTCCACCCAATAGAAGATGTTGGCCGCCATTATAGTCGCCCATTGAAAGCTGCTTGCCGCCGACCATAGCTCATCAATTCCGGCGAATTATGAACAGGTATTTTGAATCGCTGCCATTGGTTGAAGAGATGGTTGAACAAAATGTTAGGGCTTTTGATCCTTCAAGTGAGGCAATGCTCGTGGTGGTCTCAAATTTATTAACGACATAGTGGTTGCTGCCGATTACCATGAAGTGGTGGTCTTTGCCCCAAGATTGTTGCCAAACCTTAGAAAATATTATTACTCTCTAAATCATACTCTAGTAGAATCTACCCCATTAGATATCACCCCCTTCATAATTTCTGGAATTCCAGGCATGCCCTATAAGTTATCTCTAATTAGGCACCTCTAAAATAATGAAAACATCACCAGCATTTTAATAGAATATCGCAAAAACGTTAAGCCTTACCTATTGTCTTATAGAATATTTGCCTCATATTTTAAATAGAACAATATTAAGGAAAGTCAAGATTGCAACCATCATAATGAAGCTTTTGAACTGAATTCGTCAAAACTAACAGACCTATGCAAGTCAACTACAGAGGAATTTGCCAACTTGAAGCCTTTACATAAATACTACTCATAGTTCGTACTATGCAAGCATCAGAGAATATTTAGATGAGGAAATAAGTCAGCAACTATCTGAACGACTGAACCTGTACTCGCAAATCCTTTTTTCTATTTTTTTTTTTTTTTTTTTTTGTGTGTTGCCAATCCTTGCCATGCTGAACATCCACAAGCGATTGAGAATGCAGTCATTCATAAAGCCATAGCTATTCTTAGTCCCTTGAGCGCAACTGGACTGGCAAAAGACTTCAGAAACATAAATCTTAAGCAGATCAACAAATTTGCTCAAGTTAGATCTGTCGTACTTTGCTAGTTTGCTCCCCTCTGGATTTCCAGCTAATGTTATTCTGCTCTGCAAAATCTGTTCTAGAATAACTGAAGTCTCTGTCTACTATTAACATTGATAGTTGACATTTACCATGAAAATCTTTTGAATATCCTGTAGAGTGTAGCAAAGTTAGCTTTACTTCTAGAGACAGAGAGAGCAAACACCTATGCTTAACTTCATATAGAACGCAAAAGAACACCAATGTACTGACTACTACAGATTTCATATAAAATTGCAAGGAAATTATATATTGCATCTAATACTAAATAAACTAATAGCACAGGCCGCTAAATTTCTACATTGGTCAATGCAAACCCTACAAGCCAAAATCCAACAAACCAGGATCTAGAACATCTAATAGGTAAATTAATCAAATAACATTGTAAGGCAATGAGTAGGCAGCATCAATTCATTTGATATAGAACGAATTAGATTGGTAATAAGGGAAACGAAACACTTAGTTTCACAAATATAAAACAATTGCTATGTATATAGCCTAAGAGTTGTATCCCATATTACATTACCTCGGGAATAGACTTCAAAAAAGCAACCAAATAAACTTATTGCTCAACGGTATTAACTCTATCTTGATTTAATCGCACACTTTCCATTTACATCCATCCCAAATTAATCGTCCACTTCCTTTTATAGCATGGACTCTCTAATATTTCATTACCTCACTCTTCATGCTACCAAAAGTTAGGGTTCCACACGGCCACACCATTAGATATACGGGCATTATGCTCAATCCAGACGTAACATCAAACGACCATCACTGCAATTCCTCAAAGCAACTTTTTCTCCTTTTCCCAAACAAATCATACAGCAAATCTGTAAACCCAAAGGTCTAATCCAATTACCCAAGCCTCAGACTCCTCGTTTTTACTCAGTGTGTGTAACACCATTAAAATAAGTATGAGAAGAAGCACGAGAATTACTTCTCTCACTATGATGGATTACACATAGCAGTTAGCACACTAGATTTCATCAAAATTTCATCCCATTCCTTTTTTGCCTCCCCCCCTTATCCTTCTCTCCTCTCCACTAGACCAGTAAACAAATAAGCAGAATCCACTAGTCATTTTTTTAAAAGGAGATTAATCCTCATGCTCCTCAAGACTTTTTTCCCAACAAATATTTACAGCCTCAAATGAAGTGCTTTAATAATAATCCTTTCTAATGAAAATCTCCACCTCAATGGACCCCAAGTAGCAGTTTCCTTTTTAATTTTCACCTAATTCGAACTTCCACCTTATACTAGTTTCTTACACTTTCCACCTAAAATAAACAACCATTTCCAAATCTCAGACACTGCGTCCGTAGGTCAGATGTGTTGACAGGCTAAGAAAACTACTCTTGCTACTTTTGTGGTCAGTGATTATTCCAAGTGACCACTTATTTTACACTGTGCTTACAGCACTGCATCTGTACACAAATTCCTGAGACCCATGGCCAATTTTTCGACTGTGCTTCTAGTACATTGTATGTGTGTGTCTACTCATAACTATTAAGGGTTGCCTTCTCTTATATGCAAGTAATGCAACCTAGTTTTTCTCTGAGCAGGGGGATCGGAAGGCAGCAAATGTTCAAGTTCAAGAAGGTATGCTTTACTTGGTGCTTCTTCCTATCAAGTATTCAAGTGAGGAAACTAAGCAATGAAGGATATAAAAATAAGTAAGTTCCTGCTGAGAATACTGTGCCACGGATTAAGGAAGCCGTAAAAGGAAGAGTTCTCCATTATTCCTAAAAGTTGTCGGTTGGTGATGTTAAGTAGTTTGTTCAAATTCCCCCAGGAAACCCCCTGGAGAAGAGGTCAGCATATGAAAGGACAGTAGAAAAAGTGGTAACTGTATAAGAATCACAATTTTAATCAAATTCCTTTTTTTTATATCTAGGCAGGAAATAAATTTCTACTTAGGAAATAGATGGAATAGCTTCAGTTGAGGAAGCAGATGATTTTGAATAGCGTAAAAAGCGCCGAAAACCATGGATGAAGTTGAGAGCTTGGACGCCATTGAAGAAGTTGCTCCCACATTTCAGTTTCATCATCTTCACTGCGGGTGATCTTTATCTTTGCTCGAGGAGCCCCTGTGTCTCATTTAGAGAAACTTCTCAAAAGGGTAAAATTGTAATATTGGTAAAATCACCACTTAAAAACCGGTTATTTTTAGGAGTGAGCAACAAAAATCAGGGTATTCTGAATTGGATTAGAATTTAGTTAGAAATGAACTTCTGGAGGTGAGCAAAAATCAGGGTATCTTGAATCAAAACCACAATTCATTAGAAATCACAGGACATGGTCGGAACCTAAACAAGAGGTTTTGATTCTGGGTACAGTTTTTCGATCTAGAACTTGTAGGATACCTTGAATTGTATCGGGAACAGGACTACAGGTTCCGATTTCTATTATGAGAAACTGGTTGCAACAAGTTATAGTTTTGGTTCCAAAATTTTTTATTAAGATACCGTGATATGTTTAACCCTAGTTAATTTATCTAAACCACTACATGAAGTAGCATTTTTACTAAAATAACATGTAATTATTTATAGTTTTGACATTTAAGAAACAAATTCTCTAAATGAGAAACTTGGAATTTCTCCCTCTGCACCATGCAAGGACATTTATTTATTTATTTTTATACTAATATATAAAAAGGCATTTCTAAGAACGTCAATGTGCCACGTAGACCATTTTTCATTACGCCACGTCACATACTCAAATACCCAACCTTGATATCCCGGCTAAGGCCTTGTTTAGTTCAACTTATTTTTACTTATTTCAGAAAAAATAAGTTCAGATCAGAACATCGTTTTATGTGCGATTTTTTATCGCTAAATATTCTTAATTTCGCAATGAAAAAAATTGTGAAAATTACATATTAATAAACTACACATTATTACGAATCTAACAAGATCCCACTTGATATATTTTTTCCTTATAGATTATCGTACATTTTAGGTCAAAGTTTGGTCAAATCAGACAATCAGATCAGATCAGACCAGATCAGACCAGACTAGATCAAACTAGATCAGACCAGATCAGTAAAAATAAGGTGAACCAAACAAGGCCTAAGTGTCTGATCCCCGTTACCATAGGCTACTTTTGCTTCAAACAGAGAGATTCGGTTGAGCCCAACATCTTGCCTTTTCTCTACTCGGATAAACTCATATTCCTTGTGATTATATAGTGTTTTCCCAATCCATTTGAAGTTAGGCTAGCAAAGCAAAATTTCTCATGTGCTTAAATTCATCACCATTGGTGTATATAAATTTGTAAGAGCTGTGTAATTTATATTCGAGCAGCTAAATCAATTCAAACTACATGTAAGAAACAAAATTGTATGTAACTAAGACTGCAGATGATATCATGGACTATACTTATCTACACACTGATGTCATGTACTACAGAGTTTATCAAAAAGGTTGATTGTTAACAGAAAATAATGGTGTTGTCACAACTCACAAAGATATCGGGATGGATCACTGAGTTCCCACTGCCTCCTATTGGCTATAGCCATAGTCCCTTGGTGGTTTCACAGATTCAACTCTTCGTACACCTTCTTCCCCTTTGGAGAAAGGAGATGTAATTTCCTTGCATTGAAAAATTTGAATTATGAAGTTCAATGATTACTCATCCCTTGAAAAACCTCCCAGTGACAGTGATATTAGCCAGTCAAAGGATATAAGATACATAGTATATAGTTAGGGATAGACTCCATAGTCCATACACTCGAGTTCTAATCGATAACAACCCAACGCTTGTTCTAGACATGTGAGGGCTATTGATACCATTCTAAAGTGTGAAATTTCTGTAGTTCGGTGTCACTTCTGGTCTCGTAAGGCACTTTAAAAAATGGTTCGGTAATGTTTCATCTTATTAATGATACTCATCAAATCATTCCCTTCTCTTCTAAAAACACCCCAAGTTTAGACTACATCCTACATCCAAACAGCCTATATACAGCATCAAAGAGGGAATAATAATTATTTTAAAATATTATATAAAGAAAACAGTAATCATATTTCCTTCAAGATAGTACTATACAGTTGCAGATCATATAGACCATAGTTCATCTATTGGACATTATTCTAACAATCACGATGCTACCTTTTTACGCTTTTTGGCAGTCTTGGCAAGGGCATCACAGGTCTCCCTTCTTCGTTTTGAATTGTTATTATTAATACTATTGACATTGTTGTTATTGTTTTCATTGTTGTCGTTATTGTTGTTGCCACCCAAGCTGCCTTGAGATTGCAGCGCGTCTCTTACAAAGAATTTTAGCCTCCATAGTGTGGATTCACTCTGTGCAACCGAAAGCAATGTCAAAGGACAAACAAAAATTACATGATCTGACAAGATAATAGCCTATACGGCAGACAATATATCCTGACTAAACTGGATAAGGAAAAGAATACCTGAGCATCAATATCAAGGTCCACCTCCTCAGCATTTGCTAAAAACCCAGGATTGCTCTGGGAAACAATCTCTAGAGCTCTACTGAGATCATCAGTGGATAGCCTTGTGAGAGCTGTGCCAAGCAGCCTTTTTTCTTCGGTTGACATTTTCCTGAAATTTAGTGAATCAAATTCAGTTTCAAACATGCAGGGAGCACATAGTCCGGTGTTCAACAAAAAAAATAAAAAATAAAAAAAATAAAAAAAACATTGCCTGCACATAAGACAATCATCATTTACCTGCACTTTTGAACCAGCTGTTCCCTAAGACCATCAAGGTGAAAGTCTGCCTCGAAAAGCTGATAATTTAGTTCAAGGGAAATATATTAGGGTCAAGTACGAATTTAGGTGTGATAATTCAATGAATAGCATTGCATAATGGATTAAAGCATATGCATAAACATTGCCTGAAGGGGAAAATTGTTAAGATATAAAAGCCAGTTACCCTGATAAACTTTCTATGAAAAATGAATTTGTACATCTCTACTTGACAATAAACCAAACACCCATTAGTCTACTCCACAAAAGAAGAGCACGAGAGTAATGAAAATTTCTGATACGTTTTATATGCAGAGTACTATTATTATTATTATTAGACATTGTGAAAGTAAATATGGTGCTTTAAAAATAGGTAGTCGTGTAACCTTCAAAAAGTGGTTGTGGAATTTATTTAGCTGCATCAAGTTTATCATATTTGGAGTATTTTACTAGTGATTTCAGAAGTATTTTGTTAAAAAAAAAAAGACTTTATACCTCAGTGAGCTCAATATCTCATAAATCACGTCTGACAGGATCGTTAATTGCATGACTGCCAAAGATTAAAGTTTCAATGAAACAAAGCCCAATAACTCACAAACCTCATTGCTGACATCCCTTGCCATTTTGGCATAAGTAGCCTCTCGAGCTAGCTGCAGACTAAGCTGTACATGAGCTTCCTCTTCTTCTCGCCTTTTTTCCTGCAACAGCAGCCTGCCTTTTTTAGAACCATGTGAAAAAAAGGATAAAATATGGCAAATCACATATAACAAAGAGCTAACTACTATTCACACAAAAACAAGGGCCTTTTTCACTGGAATCTCACCTCTTCTGCAACTTTAGGCAAAAATTGTAGCCACTTTTCTTCAAACTTTGCCAGCAAAGTTTTTGCCATGACATGGTATTCATTCTTTTCACCATTATATTTCATTGCATTCTTGAAAACCAACCTCACATCTGCACATATCTCCCGTACATGTCTATAGCCACTACCGTCCTTAGCTTCCATTTGTTTCTTTATCGTACTGAAATCCATAGGTTTTTCAATAATCTGGTATAAGCAAAAAATGTTGAGGAATAACTCATAAGGCACACAAAATGACCAGCAAAAGCAGATAAAGCTTGAAACAAATCTAACAATAATATTCCTACAACTTCTAACAAATTATTGGTGAACAATATCAAACATTGACCACAAAAGATCAAAACGAAAGGTGATAGGATGGAGCAGAGTAGTGTTCACACAACTTTTTTTTTTTTTTTTTTTTTTTTTTTTTTTGTGATACAGTGTTAACAGAACATAACGAAACTAAACCAGTGAAAAAAAATGAAATAAGGACTTTATGTTACCTCATAGTAATCATCCAAACCAAGGCCTTTAACATCTACAGGCTCCATAAAAGGCCATGCGCACGGGTGTTTAGTGATCTAAAAAGCAAAGAAAAAAAGGGGAATATCAGGACAATTTAAATAACCCATAAATTTGTGGCAATTGATCAAGACCATAAAAACAAGGAAAACAAATGTACAAATGTACAAAGCCATAGGCAGCTTTTGAAGATGTCCACAGATACAAAGCACAGCAAACATTCAGAACTTTTCCTGAATCAGCATAAAATCAAGTAAAGATGTTTTAGGAGAGGCCTTATTCTTCTTTTATAACTCTAATCCTACAGCAGCCTACAACTTCTTAGCTACCTCAAAGGCATCAGCTTAATTAATTTTTCGATAAGATCATTTCAAAGGTTTAATCTGATAGTGAGGTTGAAAAATGTTTGGCTGGGTCAAAGTAAAACTTCCCAGTTATCCAGCACTACAAGTTTAATCCATGTAACTGAGGACAAGTTGTCCACAAAACAGCCAAAAATAAATAAATAAATAAATAAAGCATATCAAGCCAATTCTATCAAATTTTGTCTTTTAACTAACATTGCTGCATTAATTTCAGGAAAAAAAAAAAAGAGCACCTTAGCCATTGTCCCATGCTCCTATTCTGCTGAAAAATGTACCTAAAGCAGTTCCCTTGAGCATTCACCCAACCCGTTCAAACCAGACACCGAAACCCACAATGTGGACTTTTAGTAGTTTAATCTAGATTGCGGATCTTAGTCCATGAGTATAGACACCAGAACTTAAGTGAAATGAGTTAAATTAGATATGCACACCCCTCCATTAATTGAAAATTTCCCTCCACTTGTTGGTCATTCTGCTCTTAATTACAAATTTTATAGCCATATGAATTCCCCCCCCCCCCCTCCCCCAAGGACAAAGAGGCTAGAATTGAGGGTGTTGTTTTACGGGTTAAACCATTGAGCTGCCGTGCACTTTTACATCCCTCAGGCCTTAGCTAAACATATCTGTTAGAGTCTGCTAATTCCAAGTCATCATGCTCTAAAATTCTCACAAGACTAAATATAATCAATTAGTTCTGACTTCAGTCAAGCACGGGAAGCAAAATCACAAAAGTTCCATGCATTTCCCTAACGTGTACATGAATTCTAGTGTTCTGAATAAATGGGAGAAGAGCAACTATCAGAGGAATTGTATCTCTCCAATGAAAAAAACACATGGATGCAACTAGCTTGGTTGGCTTCAAACTTAGGGGTGGTTCCCACATTTACTAGCTTAGTTGGTTAAAATCTTAGGGATGGTTCCCACATTTACATCATTTGTCCTCTCTCTCTCTCTCTCCATTTCTAGGGGAGTGTTATTGATCTAATCTATCCCAATGAGCAGTCTATCGAACCGTTGCAATTGATGTTCGGTGCCGACGACAAGGAAGAGATTTGCAGAAAGTGGGTTTTTATGATCTGATAAAAGTCAAACTTATTTAATTCAAATTGAATAGCTCACACAAAAATCTTGCATTTCATCTATTGAGCAGTCTAAAATACCCTTTTGTCTCATTTATAATCAATTTGAATTCAGAATTCTGATCTAAATCCTAGTGTTACGACAATGAACAATCTAAAAGGTACTTCGAATTTCCTTTAAAAGAAATGAGAAGAAAAGAAAATGACCTCATGTAATATTTTGCCAAAATGACATATCAGCTCCTGCATTCTCTTTGTGGCATCTGTTTCCTTGCTTGTTGCATCCTGCTGCTGCTTTTTTGTGAGAGCAACATGCCTCTCTTTATCCTTGTCTTTGTCTCTGGAAGCCAAGCCACCTTTCGAGCTGTTAGCTTGCTTTTTACTGCTGTTAAAGTAGAATTGCTCAATCTCATGAACTTTTTGCTCTATCTGCATATATGTATATATAAAATGTTATTCTATCTCATACAAACAATAAAAACAAAAAGATAAAGAAAAACAACACTCCCAGACTGGTCTAGATGACAGTCAACATCAGGAATACCGTTCAAGTGCAAAAATGACTTTCAACAAAGAAAGCATGCTCAATTAAAATTTTTATGAGATAGATAGAATCTTAATGGAACAATCTATAACTGCATGTTACCTCACTAGTTATCTATGTTACATTCAAAAGCCAAAACAAACCGTTTCCTGGTTTCACATTTTATATCAGGAGTTCAGCATAGGACACATACTGCAAATTCAATTGATGTAAACAAAATCCTTAAAAAAAAAAAATTAAAAATTGATGCCAACAAAAATAAAAATGCAAGAAGAAATAAGATGAAACATCACAAGTTTGACTATTTTAGGAGGGAACCTGACCCATATATCAGTAATTTCAGTATCAATTATTTACAACCATTTTTTAGGACTGTAGCATTGTAGCAAGTATGAGGCACATCAATTTGTGCCAATCAATACGCTTACAATCATGAACATATAGTTAAGACATTTCAACAAAGATGGAGTATAAATCATGCAGCCATATGCCTAAGTCTTTCAAGTTTTAGCCAATAAAATTCTTTTACTGAGAAAATACCAACTTTAGACTTCAGATACAACTGTAGTCAAGCCACATATCAATCAACTAGAGGTTGGAATAGGTGTCATACAGAATTATTCAGTGCCTCCATTACATGATTTCATATTAAATCTGTGATTTGTTTAAGCATCATACCATTTCATCAGCTCATTGTCAATCACAAAACTCTCACTAGTAGCTGGAATGCTGAATAGGGGGTTCTATGTGTGCAACCTATATCATGGAACCACAAAAAGGCCTTCTAGCTTTACCTCGTGGCTTGTAAGGTATAAGAGAATAACTTAAAAGAAAGTGTATACGAAATTAAGTATGATTTTACATAAATAATCCCATATGGATATTGAGGTGAGGGCATAAGCGCAACTTCATAGGACACATATGTATATATCTTCATTAATATTCATTATCACTACAAAATCATATGGCGTGCTGGTGCAAATGCAATGTAACAGATATTCACATGGGACATTGTGCGTCAAATTACACATGAATATATTCCTGCTTAGTAGATTTACCTTATACCAAACCAATAGTTAAAGTGAAATGAAACTACATTGAGCATGCTTTTAATGCTAACAATTCTTATTTTACTTTAAGAGACCAAAGCAATCATTATCGAATATCATATGAGCTTGCATAGTTGCATAATTGAAGGGATTTAGGCCTCTAAACTAGCAATCACCAAACAAATATAACCATTAAAATGAGCAATAATTAGGCAAGTTATCACCTAACTCCAATTTCAGAAGCAAACTCACCCTATTGACATGTGACAACACTACGTCGACACGATTCTTGTAATCTTCCATCCCACAATCGCCCATTTCCTGATTTGTCAATTCCCACCCTCCATCTGAAATAGCAATTGCACATTTACACAAACTGTTAAGTACATGACTGATATGAGCAAGTATCCTCAACAACTAGAAGCATACATAAACTATTCAACAAATCTCGTTTCAACAAAAACCCTAAACAAATTCAAATGCTTTCCAAACATTTTGCAGATGCTTTTTCTAGCATAATCAAAATTTCAAACACAATCACACTAATTGAATCATAATTTAAGCCTAAAACAAACATAAGCACAAAGATATATTTCTATATTAGGCGAAAAACAATCACGAAAAGCCAAATTCAACAAAAATTAGAGAGAATCAAAATGCATAAACAAATATATTAGAATAATTAAATATTCAATCAAATAACAGTAATAATGCTTGATTACATGTTTCTCAAAAAAAAAAGAAAAAAAGAAAAAAAAAAAAACTTGATTACATACCAAATTTCAATTATTATATAATCAGAATAATTAAATTTGATTAATTAGCTTCGAATTGAAGAAAGCAGAGACAGAGCAAGAAGTGTGAGACTTGAGAGAGTGTTCGGCGAGAGTATAATCTTCGATTCTTCATGTAAATATGGGCACCGGTCATATGTCGTGTACGCCCACATGTCGTGTTAGTGGTACTTAGCACAAGCTTAAAAATGATTTACAAATTTTTTGGTAAATTGATAAAAAATAAAAAAATAAAAAAATAAAAAAAAAAAGAGAGAGAGAAAAAGAAAAGTGGGTCGATTCATCGTGCTGATGACGGGTTCGTGTCATTGTATATGGTTGGCCACACCGCGTGACAGGGGTTATTTGAGTTACTCGATCAAGGGTTGCTCGGTCAGGAGTTACTTGAGGGGTTCAGTCAAGAGTGTGGCCAACCACACAGAAAAACCCTCATTTTGAAAATGGGCTCATGCAGCGAGTATAACTCGTCACGTGTCGCTTGTGCCGTGTTAGGTTTATAATGATGAGCTTGTGCCGTGATTATTTTTGTATTGGCCCAATCCATTTTCATCTCTATTTTCATGCTCTGAATTTGTAGAATTTTCAAGTTCCAATTGGAACAATTGTTTGAATAATATGATTCATTATAGAACATGTGTTAATTTTAGACATAAATTAGGGTGATGTTTTTGGAGAAAAAAAAATGTAATTTGAGTATTTCGTGCAAATTAAAAATGAGAAAACTCTAGGAAAGTAGGTTACATTGGATTTATAGCTTTAGTGCAAAGTGCATGACTATATATATTTCTAAACCATAAGCTAGCTTGACTAATCCTTTCAAGAGTCTCAAGAGTAGCAACAAAGAATCCCTTTAGATGATTGCAATAACATAAGTAACTTTATTACTTCCCCATTCTTTTTTTAATAGACATGTGTTTTTATATCATGTTTTTCAACCCACAAATTTAATGATTTATTTATGGAAAGCTTATTGTTTAAAATATACATTGAGTTTGAGAATAGTCTAATAAAAATTCACAAACTAATTTGTCATGATTATGTTTTGTCACAACTCAAAAGTCGACGTGTCAACTAAAATAATGGAGTCGTATTACATTTTTTTTTAGACGAGTATACAACAAATAATTAGGTCGAGCACACATGTTCGGATATTCCACTTGGCAACTTTCTCAAACACTAATAAAAACATATATGCCACATCATCCACAATCAACTTTTTTTATTACTAATAAAAAATGATCTTTGTAGTGTTTGAACTCATGACCAACAATAATAGTGCTTGTTTGCTTCAACGTGGGAAACAAATTCCCACATGAAATCATATACCATGGAAGTCTTTTCCTTTGCTAATTGCATAAAAATTATGCAGAAATACATCACGAGAGTTAGTATTTCCTGGGAAATAACTTCCTATGCATTTTAAAATTCACTCACTTAAAAGGGGCTTGGTGAGTTATTTCCTATGCTATGTGGGAATTAATTTACATCCCCCTTGGCAATTTCATTTCTTAGGAAATTTTTAATTAAACACAACATATTTAAGCTATTGTCTAGTAATTTTCATTTCAACGTAAATATCTTTCAACCAAACAAATTTCAGGTCATTTTTAGGATATGTTCTCTTCAGCTTAATTTCAGTTCAGTTCACTTTAGCTCCAATTAGTTCAGTTCCTAATTTCCTTCTCTCGTAAACAATTCATTTCAGCTCTTATTCAGTTCAGTTTAGTTCAATTCAGTTCAGCTCAGTTCAGTAAATTAGAACAGGCTCTTATTTTGGGTTTAGTGCAATTCAGGTCCAATTCAGTTCAATTTAATGTTTTGTAGATCAATAACAATTCATATCACTTTCAATTCAGATAATTATCAAGTTAAAGGTCATTTTCACTTTTTAGTTCAAGTTATTTTAGTTTCAAGCACAGACAGTTTAGTTAACCCAACAATTCCAACCCGAATGGACTCCCCTACTCACCATTGTATACAGGAGACTGTCATTCAAATACATAGTTTGCGTAGAAATGTCACCTCTTTCAAGCTCCACCAAATTATTCCACGTATTGATTATGAGATATATAATTTTAGTCCAATGCATGATTTCTATTCAATGTTGAGTTCATAATAAAGACATTACGCATAATCGGTTTTAGGCGTTCGCTATCAGGATATTGGTACTTGTGTAGCTGCTTACATTTTCAACAGGATCGGGGTTGCTATAGCTAAAGGGGTGGGGGCCCTATTGTATATCGGCTCCCCACTAATTTCTTGTAATTTAGTTGACTTTGTACGTTTTTGCTGCGTACGAAGTGTCAACATGGTCGTAGTTTGGATGATATTGTGGACCCTCCTGATTCGGGGGATGGTATTGTTCGGTTTGTTCTTTATGGTTTTCCTAAACCGCAGGGTCCTTCTTCGGAGATTTCAGGTCTTGTTCCTACTGTGCCTCATGTGACTCAATTCAATAAATCCGTCGGAAATTTCTGACGGAAAATAAGTCCGTCAGAATTTATGTACCTTCCGACGGATTTTTCAGTCGGAAAGTACATAAATTCCGACGGATTTTTATCCCTCGGATTATAATTTTTTTTAAAAAAGAAAAACAAAGCTTTAAAACCCTAACATACCTCCTTCAACAAATCCGTCTCTTTTCTTTCCTTGCCCCCTTCTCTTTCTCTATTTTTTTCCCTTTCTCCTTCTTTCTGTCGTTTCTTCTTCTTCTTCTTCTTCTTCTTCTTCTTCTTCTTCTTCTTCTTCTTCTTCTTCGCCTTCGCCTTCTAACTCCACTTCTTCTTCTTTTTGTTCGTTCTCCTTCTCTCTCCTCTTCTGTTTCCTCTTCTTCTCGTTCTCTTTCTATCTCCTCTTCTCTTTCCTTTCTTCTTCTCCTTCTCTCCTCTTCCTTCTCTCGACTTCTTTTCCCCATCTTCTAACTGCCACCTACTGCTAGCCACTACCACCGCCGCAACAACAACACCAACATTGACATGAACCGCAACACCAACACAAACATGAACATCAACGGCAAAAAACGAAGGTTTTTAGGTGAAATTCGACCTTGAAAACTCTAGATGTAGAGTTTCCATGGTCGAATTTGGCCTCATAAACCCAATTTTGACGTTTTGTTTGGTCAAATTAAGGTATGTATCTCTTTTTTCTTTCTTAATTTTGATTTAAATTAATTTGTTGTTTTCGGTTTTTTTTTAAAATTTATGGTGGTGGTGGTGGTGGTGGTGGTGGACGTTGGAGTTCGAATTTTGGTGGCTGGGTTGGCGAGGTTGTGGTGGGTAGATCTGGGTTGTGGTCAGATTTTTTTGATGTTATTTTGGGTTACGGTGTCGTGGTGGTAGAAAATCGATGTCGGTTCAGTTTGGGTGGGTGGGGTTTAAATAGGGGCTGAAGGGAGGGAGGTTAGTTGGGGTTTAATCAGGCTTGGAGGTTTGGCGAACCGGGCTTGGAGGTTTGTAGTGATGGTCGGTGGGGTCTGTTGGGTTAAGGTGGTGAATTACGGTGGTGGGTCTGGTGGGTTAAGGTTAGGTGGGTTAAGGTGGTGGGTCTTTTGGGTTAAGGCGGGTTAGTTGGTTGCGTAGTGGCGGCTCGGGCTGGTAGCGCTGGTACTGTGGGTTTTTTTTCAGCATATCCGTCGGAACTTTCTGGCGGAATTGTATGCGTCGAAAATTTCCGACGGACTTTTCCGGTGCCGGAAAACCTCTTCCGATGACTGAATTACGTCGAAAATTCCGTCGGAAAAGTGTTTTCTACGGAATTTTCGGTATTCTTGCACTGTTGTGGCCCTTGAGCTTGGACAACCACCCCTTCTCCTTCTCCCTCCCAAAAGCAGAGAATTGGGCAATTTTTTTTAGTGAAGCACCAAACCACGGCTCGTATTCATATACTACCCCTTTCTTTGGAGTTTCTTTTTCTAAAAATTGACATTCAATGTATTGTCCGTGTGGTCCTTTCGCCCACAATAGGTTAATAGTAACAAAAATCAGCAAGACGTTGTTCATATTAAATACTACCATTTCAAGGTTTGTGAATCATATGGAATTTTGATACCCCTAGATAGAGGTTTGTTAGTGCCAACTAGAATTTTTACCCTCAAATATTCATCCCATGCAATTAAGAGGATCCAAGTCATAATACTCTAGAAACCCTCCTAAGTGTTCTTGATTGGAACTTATTAGACCTTATTCAACATATTGAAACTTATTAGACCTTATTAAACTTATTGGATCTTATTGTTACTTATATGAACTAATCTGAATTTATTAGACCAAAAACTTATTTTTAAAAGGTGAAGAGAACAAGCCCTAGATATCAATTAACAAGTTAGTAGTACTTTTTAGCCGTAATGTACAGTTTATATTTAAATGGCTGCAATTGGAAAAATCAAAACTTTAAAAGGCTGTAATTGACAAATTTTTCTTTTCTTGAAGTAGTATTTCAATTCAATTTTTGCAATATTCATCAATTATACCATTTTGAGTGTTTGACCAATTTTTATTCTTAATACAATTACATGAGATCAAATGTAGTTATATAGTCATATACTCCCCCCCCCCCTTTTTAAATGCACAGTTTAATTGGCACAGTTGTCGAGATGTATCTTTTGATTATTAAGAGGAAAATTTGTCAGAAAAAAGCTTTTAAAACAACTTTTATCTTGAAAAACCTTTTAAAAATTTCTTGGCAAAATAAAACCTATTTGTAAATTTTTTTCTGTTGACAACAACCAAACCTTATTTTGCGGCATCGACCCACTCATGTGCATGTCATGTGCTCTTTTATTTACTATTCCCATCCCCTTTCTTCTATTTCCCGTCTAATTCCCTCCTTAACCCCTCTAATTTAAACCCTTCTCTCTCATCTCTTTTTATACTTGGCCATGGTCAAACTTCATTCAATTTGAAGAAGGTAGTTGCTTTTGTTGCAATTGATTTCCAATAAAATTTGACCAAGGTAATTGCTTTAGTTATGCTTAATTTATTACTCTTTTATGTTTACGAAAGTTTTCAAAAAATTAGGGTTTGGTGCCCCCTTTTTAATATTTACGCTAATTACAAAGGCAACTATAGTTTGGGGCAATAATTACAATGGCTTATCTGAATGTGCATTGCCTTACAAGGACTTTAATTCAGACATAGCAATATCTTAATTTAACAAGTACAACAAAATGAAATTGAGTTCAAGCAATTATCAATAACATTCTCATAAAAATACACCAAAAGGAACCTAATCAATTGTTTTAAAGCATGCAACACATAATTTCTCGAGAGAGGGAGGTTAAGGAGGGATTAGAAAAGGGGGAGAAAATAGTAAAAGAAAAAGAAAAAAGAAAAAAGGACACGTGACATGCATATGATGGATCAACACCGGAAAATGACAAGTCAACATCGAAAAGTGGGGTTTGGTTGTTTTCAAAAAAAAAAAATTTCAAACAGGTTTCATATTACCAAGATATTTAAGGTTTTTCTGGAAAAAAATATTTTAAAAAGTCTATTCTAACAAATTTTCCTTTTATTTTTTGGTGCAAAAATAATACTACCCCCGTTACATATTATGTGGAACTTTTGAATATTTTATATCTCACAAATAATACGCACCTAATATATAACAAAAGTAGTAATTTTTTTGGTAAACTTAACCCACTTTCCCGTAACTTGTCAAACCCTAGCCGTCTTCTCCCTCATCTATCCCTCCCCTCAAAGAAGAAAATTATTGGGAGTGTTTGGCGGCTTTTTGCCTAGCTTTTGGCTTTTTAGTTTGGTCAAACAGCAAAAAAAAAATATGTTTGGTAGTTGGTTATTTTGTTGGCTTTTAAGCTGGCTTTTCCGCCAAAAGCTAATAGGAGTAGCTTTTTCTATTGACTTTTGGCTTGTTGGCCCACTTTTATCACTAATAAACAGCTAACAACCATAAATAATTTTAACAAATACTTTTGTAAACAGCTGACTTAAACAACTAACTTAAAAAGTCAATCCATACAACTAATACTTCCAGCAGGTAAGATGGTTTGGAGGTTTACTTCTTAGGAAAGGTAATCCTCTTGTCAGTGTTGTTTCCTTTAACCCATGATTACATTCATTCAATGAAATCTAGGCTTTAGCTCATACAATTTATGATTATGTTTTCTGATTCAACCTAAACTTTTTTCCTATTTTGCTCAATTGAACTGCTTACTCTTTTAGCTCGTACAATTTCATTTTTGCTTACTTAACTCTTGTTGTAGGGATCTTGATGTTTGCTGGAACAAGGTCTGCATCCAATTTAAGAACTACAAGCAAGGTCTACAAATATTAAAAATGTGTTGACTTTACCAAAAAAAATGTGTTGACTTTGATATGATGAACAGATTGGAGATGGAAGGGTGGTTGATTATGAATTGATTTTGAAACACAATTCTTTGAAATCGAATGCCTCTGATGAAGTGCTCGCCTATAAAAACAATTACTACAACCAATCAGCTACAACTCAACCTCTCAACAACCGAGTAACAATGTTTGAGAAAGAATTCAGCACGGTTGTAAGATATAGAATAATTGTGTATTGTATTTACTTGATGTTTACTAAAGAATATACAACCATATAAATAGAGTTACAAGAGTATTAAGATAATTACGAAAGATAATTAGAATAATTATCCCTAATATAAAGGAACTAGGCTAAACAATATTGAGTAAGATAATCACCGAAGATAAGGGAAGCTGTTGAGCAATTCTAGCTTCAATAATTATCATTCTCTAACAATCTTTCATACATGTAGTGCCTGTAGATTCTTTCATACATGAATTAGTATTTATCTTAATTTTAGGATATATATAATAAAATAGTTGTAATTACGACCTGTAGTGCCATTCCATTTTGCTCTATCTTAATTTTGATGTATATATTCTTGTCCATGTTTGAATTCTAATGTGTTTATTATGAACAGAGGGAGTGCTTTCAACTTCTAACTGTCTTATTTATTAGAGAAATTAATTTTTGAATGTTTATTTATATATTTGCAATTTTGTGGATGACTTCCACTACTAGAAAACAGGTCATTTCCGACAGAATTACGATTACATGCACACACAAAACGTTACACCTGAATAATTTTGATTATCTTAATTATAAATATTGCCAATCACTTCTATTACATTTACATGAAGATGACACTCCTTTTCATATTGGCTGGACTCTGGATTATGCAAGCAAAACAGCATTAATTAAACAAAACATTACAGCTTAATAATTAAATAATTTTGATTATCTTAATTATACAAACCAAACCGCAAAAGTACACAGAACATTATAAAGTAATAATGAAATCATTTGGATTATTTTAACTATAAAAATTAAACAACATAAACATTGCACCTTAACTATGAAATAATTTTACGAACATCATGCACGTCTAAAATCTTAAAAGGGATAGACCTCAATAACAGACCTTGACCCTAGATTACGAGATATCTTATAGTCATTCAAACCAGCACTGATAAACAACTTTCTCCATTCCTCTTCAGTTCTTTCCTTGCCCCCAGCGGTAATATTCATCATCTGCAAGTCCAACAAAATCTGCAAATTCAAGTAATTGGGAATGTTATTATCATTATTGTTCTCCACCACCATATCAATGATAATTATCTTGCCACCTCCACTTTTGCTAGGAATAGCCTCTTTGCATCGCTCAAGTATTTTTATGCAATGTTCATCACTCCAATTATGCAATATGCACTGCAAAAGTTGTTTCGATTAGTGCATAGACATGACGACAACTATATTAATTTCTCTATTCCCAGATAAAAGTTTCATTGGCTCAATGTACTTTTATTCAAAAGTAATTAACAAACGATGAAAATTGGGTTTTACTAACTAAAGGAAAATAAAATAAATATAGTAGTAGAGCTTGGTAAATTAAACTGACTTTAGAAAACAAAATTAACAGAAATAAAACTTTTATAATTTTATTTATAAACAAGATAAGACAAGATTGTTGAATGAAATGAAACTTTTATCTTAGAATGGATGGAGTAAAAAAAAGGAGTCAGTTAATAATCTTGTATTAAATCAATTTTCAGTTTTTCACAGTATTTCCTAGTATTGGCATTCCTAAAGATCTTGTATAACGCTGGAATATTATACAAGTAACAGATAAGTTTATACAATGAGCTCTTCTCTAATTATATCTATAGCTACTACAATAAAAGGAAAAAAAATTAAAAAAAAAAAAAGAAAAGAACCAACATAAAGAACAATGCATGATTCTTTATATACGTAGTATATTATTCCATCATAATCCCTCCGTCACAATAGTTGCAAGTTTGCAACACTTAGACTTTCTAGTTTATACTCATACAATAACTTTGATTACATTCTCACAATATATATAAAAATAATCAGATGTTATTGAAAAATACTCCCTCTGTTTCACGTAATTTTTCTCATTCACCAAGGAAAGTAATGTAAGATTCTTAATTTTTTTTGTAAAAAAAAAGAAGTAATGTTAGTTAATACATGTGATTACTTCATGATGTTAGAGAAATAATACAAGCAAGTCAAATTAAGGTAAAATGACATTATTTCCATGTAGAAAAAATCAATAAAGTAAGATTGGGAAAAACCCTACATAAACAAAAAGTAGAAAGAACTTCGTGAGACAGAGGGGGTATGTTGTTAATTAGTCTAAATGTATACTTTTCAAATATCATTTTATTATTGTTTTACAAATAATAATAATTTCATATATTTATGGAGGTGGATTGGCAGGTGTTTCAATCAGTTTTCTAAAACAAGAGTATAACATACCTCTTGAAGTTAGAAATATTAGACCATATATATATCATACAAAAAGTAAGATAATATATAACATGAAGTTGAGTTTAAACCAACGTATATAACCTATTATTTGTATAATAAAGTATTGCTGAGTTATCTAACAAGGAATAGAAAACTTGGAAATTACAATTAGTAATTTTACCTTGAGTAAGACAACTTGAGCAGGAGGAATAGCCTCAAACATATCACCTTCAACATATATTGGGTTTTTGTCATACCATGTTAAGCCCTGAACCACATGTGGGAGATCAAACACGACACACGTTAACTCAGGGAAGAGCTTAGCAATGGCCTTAGCCATGGTTCCATTGCCGCCACCAACATCAACCAACGACTTAATCCCCACCAATAAGCCCCTGAACTCATCATTAGACATCAACAAGCTCACTACAAATTGAGTATCACTGGCCATAGCGTCATTGAAAAGCTTGTTAAAGTCGGGTACACAGGAGATATATGCCCATATACTCTTTCTATGAGCAGTATGAAAAGGATTGTCATCTTCATTTTGAAACCAACAAGAGAATTTATGTGACGATTCAACAAAGATTGGATCAAGTACCATAAGCGCAAAAGGAGCTAGGGTGAGAGGGTGATCCTTCAATAAAAGTTGGGAGTTTACGGTGAGATCATAAGCTTCTTCACTACTTGATAATATTTGATTAGAAAAGAACTTGGAATGAACAAGAAGGCGCATTAACCGACCTAGAGAAAGAGCCTTGTTTGGATGGAGTGACAATGAAATAGCTAACTCCTTAAGAGTCATAGGCTTGCCATGCTTTTGAATGGCATCTGGGATGCCTAGCTGAATTGCACACTTCAATGCCATGGGGCTTATATAAGAGTAAATATGATTCCATATATGAGTTTGTGCACTCAGTAGCTCTTTTGCTGGTTCAATGGAAAAGCTCATGGGATCCATTTGCGCTTCACACACACACACACACACACAAAAAAAAAAAAAAAAAAAAACTATCTAGCTAATGTAACATAAAGTTTTTTAGTTAATTAAATGCCACAGATAAAGTGACAGGCTGCCAGGATTGGTTGATTCATCAATTAATAACAAAACTTTTTATTAGGTGTGCATTAATGGTTAATACAATTCACATAATTCTGTGGGTAGATTGTCAATTTGTGGTGCAGTGATAAGATGGCAGCTGAAGGAAACGTGTCCTCGACTCGTGTAACATGTATGTTGATGAGTAACATATAGTGATACAAAATGGTGGGACAAAAGACTAAGACTCAGTAGTGAGGTTGTCCGATTGCACTCAGAGTCACACATTTTTTTTTCTTCCTTTCTGAAATCAACAAGTGTCTAAAGCATCTTAACAATGAATCCTCCTTAGCATACAAAGATACAAGATTAAAATGCACGCATTGGATCTTGAGCAATCAGTATCAGGATCATATGAGCTTGCATTATTGAAGGGCTCTAGGACTCTAAATTAGCAATTCACCAAACATAATATTTCTAATTATAAGCAATAAAAAAATTTCAATTTTCAGAAACAAACTCACCCTATGACGTCGATAACATTACGCCAACACGATTATTGTAATTTTCCACCTCACAATCAGCCATGTCCAGCATTGTCTTTAAGCCATTTTCCAACCTAAATGGGCTCCATCTGAAATAGCAATTGCACCAAAAACGTGCAGCATATTGTATATGCTGTAAATCTGTAATGATCAAATATCAACCAGCTAAGCAACAAGAAGCGTAGATGAATTATTCAAAATATGACAAATTAACAAAAACCCTAAACAAATTCAAATGCTTTCCTAGCATTTTGCAATTCAGTCCACTTGTCTTATACATAATCAAATTTTCCATAAAATTAAGCACAATTCGCTCTAATTGACTCAAAATTTAAACCAGAACGAACATAAATTCAAGAAATACATCTAAATAAGTGAATAATAATCACGAAAAATCCAAATTCAACAAAAAGAGAGAATCAAAATGCATAAGCAAATTAAATATAATCAAAACAACTAATTTCATTGAATTAAGAAGTAATAGAATATAGTACTTGATTACATACCAATTTCATGATAAAGGTAAATAATTAGCTTCGAATTGAAGAAAGGGGAGAGCAAAGAGTGTTGAAAGTTTTTGGGCAGAGCTTTTAAGTCCGATTTTTTATTTTGTGAGCCTTAGATTATCTCCTTTTGTTTATCAAGGCCAGTTTTGGGTCATTGGGGTAAATCTGTAAAACTGCTAACACCAATGACCCAAAACTGTAAAACTGTTAACACCAATAGCGATTTAAGAGTAAAACAACTACTAGATGTACTTCGTGATGCTCATTTCTATTTATTTATTTATTTTACTTTTGCTTCATTTTAAAATAGTCATGGGTATATAAGTATATTGTAATGCTAGACCTAATTAAGATCATGAGTTGCTAGCTTGCTACTCCATAATTTTTGTTTACTAATTGTTCATTTTGATTCTAAATAGCATGTTATTGACAATTTTATATGATTATAAAAATAAAAAAAAATAAAAAAAAAAAGTATATCTCTACCCTTTCAAAAACCAGAAGCTGTGTTACTGTTTCAAATCTACGATATAGTTCCGGTTTTGCCCTTCGTTTTCTTTTGGGGGGGAAGGGGGGATCACCTTTTGGGGTTTGGGTTGCTGATTCAGCATGTCTCATGTTAGTTTACCATGTTTTTTTTTGGTTCGTTATTAATTATTAGCTAATTTAATATTGATAGTCAATTCTAAGAAGAAGCAGTACATTAGAGCTCCATATTTTAAGGGTTATTAGAGATGTAGCACTGTGTTTGCTTCTTTGACTAGTATGACTACCAATGGTGTTTGAAATTGTGTCTAAAGGCCTGCTTTTAAGTGTACTTTTATTTACCAAAAAAATAGTTATTTATTCATTGTGTGTGCCCTTATATTAGATATATATAGGATTTTTCTTGTTTGTAGTTTGTCTACCAGTTGCATTCTTACATCTGATTTATTCTTTTCGTGCTAAAAACTTACAGTAAAGTGATTAATTCTAAACAAAGAAAGATCAGGTAACTTAAATCTTGTTAATTGCTTGGGATAAATGTGTTTGTTACATATGTTTCTTATTAATTATTACATTGTTATGATCTATACAAGAACTGCCAATAATCTAATGGACCGAGATTTTGATTATCCATGACAAAAGACAATTCCATACACTGCAGGATTGTGACAAGGACATACCAGATATTCATTATAATTTGTATATTGATGGATATATTGTTTATGTTGGTATTTTATTTTTTTTGGTAAATAAATTTTGCATTACCAAAAGAAGCTGCAAATAGCAGCAAAGAATACAGCATGAAGCCAAAAATGTCTAAACAACCCAAACATCAATGCCCAACAGGCAACCAACTACCAGCCAAAGAAACAAAAATCAACGCCCAACAGGCAACCACCAGCATGAAGGGTTCCTAAGATTTTTGTTCAAAACGAAGGCTCTTCTGAACTAAGAGGAGAGGAACTACCCTCTAGGAGGGTCATTCTTGACCAAAGGAACATGACAAAACAACTAAACATAGGGTACAAGGAACGGAGCAAGTTCAAGAATAGCCTAAACAATAACAACAAACAACCCAGAGAAACACCAAACAAGAAAACCAAACAAAAATAAACTAGCTCAACAAGGGGCCCACAAGCAACCACCAGCAAGGAAGATGGCATCTGGCAGCAAGACCAACAAGACCGAGGCCAGCAACTACCCACCAGAAATGACTGGCAAGCAACCAGCAACTAGGGAGCAGCCTTAAGAACAAGAGGCAGCAGCACGCAGACCCCATCAGCAGCAGCAGGAGCTAGCCAAAAGGCAGCAAGCATAACAGAACTTGCAACACTAACCAAGCAGCAGTAGCACAATAACCAGCAGCAGCAAAAGAGAAGTAAGCAACAGCATAAAACACAGAGCAGCAGGCAGAGATTACAAAAGAAGCAGCAGCCCCAACTAAACAGGCCATCAACAAAGCTTCATCACATAACAAGATGATGTCTCTCAGCCTCAGCACACCTACAAGCCACTTTAAACACAATCTCACAAAAGACAACATCAACATTATCACATCAAATGAGCAAATATCAACCAGCTCAGCAACAAGAAGCGTACATGAATTATTCAAAATATGACAAATTAACAAAAACCCTAAACAAATTCAAATGCTTTCCTAGCATTTTGCAATTCGGTCCACTTGTCTTATACATAATCAAATCTTCCATAAAATTAAGCACAAATCGCTCTAATTGACTCAAAAATTAAACCAAAACAAACACAAATTCAAGAAATACATGTAAATAAGTGAATAATAATCACGAAAAATCCAAATTCAACAAAAAGAGAGAATCAAAATGCATAAGCAAATATAATCAAAACAACTAATTTCAATGAATTAAGAAGTAATAGAATATAGTGCTTGATTACATACCAAATTTAATGGTAAAGGTGAATAAGTAGCTTCGAATTGAAGAAATAAAGTCCATAACACCATAATAAAGTTCATACAAGTATAAGTCTGGGCTATAGAATAAAGTAACATAGTTTGCAAATGAAACTATTCAATAATTTCTGTTACAAGTACATGCACACACAAAACATAACACCACAATAATCTGATTATCTCAATTGTACAAAAAAAATAACTTAATTACACGAAACATTACAACTTAATAATGAAAAATTTTTGACTCAAATATACAAGCCAGTCAACATAATACACAAAGCATTACAACTTAATAATGTAATCATTAATTTGGATTATCTTAACAGTGAAATATTTTACGGATATCACACGCATCTAGAAAATTTAAGGTATAGACCTCAATAACAGACCTTGACCCAATATTACGAAATATCTTATAGTCATTCAAACCAGCACTGATAAACAACTTTCTCCATTCCTCTTCAGTTCTTTCCTTGCCCCCAGTGGTAATATTCATCACCTGCAAGACCAACAATAACTGGGAATACAAATAATCGGGAATGTTATTCTCGTTGTTGTTCTCCACCACCATGTTAATAATAATTATCTTGCCTCCTATTTCTTTACTAGGAATTGCCTCTTTGCATCGCTCAAGTATTTTTATGCAATCTTCATCACTCCAATTATGCAATATCCACTGCAAAAGTTGTTTCTATTAGTGCATCAACATGACGACAACTATATTACTCCCTCTATTCCTAGATAAAAAAAAATTCATTTGCTCGATGTAAATTTATTCAAAAGTAATTAAAAAAAGACGAAAATTGGGTATTAATTGATTGAATGAAAATAAGATATATAGTAGAGCATGTAGAATATACTTGGAAATGACAAGTAGTAATTTTACCTTGAGTAAGACAGCTTGAGCAGGAGGAATAGCCTTGAACATACCACCCCCAAAATATATTAAGTTCTTGCCATACCCTGTTAATTCTTGAACCACATGTGGGAGATCAAACACAGCACACCTTAATTCAGGGAAGAGCTTAGCAATGGCCTTAGCCATGGTTCCATTGCCACCACCAACATCAACTAACGATTCGACCCCCTCCCATAAGCCCTTGAACTCATCGCTAGAAATCAACAAGTTCACAACAAATTGAGTATCACTGGCCATAGCATCATTGAAAAGCTTGTTAAACTCAGGTACACAAGAGATACATTCCCATAAACTCTTTCTGTGAGCAGTATGAAAAGGAGTGTCATCATCATTTTGAAACCAGCTAGAGAGATAATGTGAGGATTCAACAAAGATTGGATCAAGTACCATCAACACGAAAGGAACTAGAGAGAAAGGGTGATCCTTCAATAAAAGTTGGGATTTTAAGGTGAGCTCAAAGGCTTCTTCACTGCTTGATAATAATTGCTTGGAAAAGAAGTTGGAATGAACAAGAAGGCGCATTAACTGGCCTAGAGAAAGAGCCTTATTTGGATGGAAAGACAGTGATGTACCTAGCTCCACAAGAGTCATAGGCCTACCATGCTTTTGAATGGCATCTGGTATGCCTAGCTGAATTGCACACTTTAACGCCATGAGGCTTAGATAAGAGTAAATATGATTCCATATATAAGTTTGTGCATCCAGTAGCTCTTTCACTGGTTCAATGGCAATGCTCATGGGATCCATTTGTGCTACTCAACACAAAAAAAAAAAAATATATATATATATATATATATATTCTATCTAGCTAATGTAACATAAAGATATATAATTAAATGCCAAAGATATAGTGACAAACTGCCAGGATTGGTTGATTCATCAACCAATACAGTCAATACAACTCATGTTGTTTCGTGGGTAGATTGTCCGTTTATTGTACACTGAAAAAATAGTAACATATAGTGATACAAAATGGTGGGACAAAAGATTAAGACTCAATAGTGACGTTGTACAATTGCACTTAGAGACTCAGAGTCACATATCTATTTTGTTCTTTCTGAAATATGCAGGTATGAAGTGTCTACAATATCTCAGTAATGAATCCCCCTTTGCGAGTTTCAGCGTTCAAAGATTATGTACGGAAACTATTTCAATAAGTACACCCACAAATAACCCATTTTTTACCACCCACAAATAACCTATTTTTTGAAATTACCACCCAAAATTATTATTTTTGACTTTTATGGGTGGTATATAAAGAGAAGAAAAAAAAAAGATGGTAATTTCAAGTGGGTTATTTGTGGGTGGTAAAATACAAAATTTCCTAATATTAAGGGCATTTTAATTGTAGGTGGACAACAAAATCTGTAAGAGTACCTTATATAAAAGAGATGAGAGGAGTTAATAATTGAGAAGGTTGAAAGAGCTATTGATAATATAGATTGAGAAAGCAAAATATACAATTATAAAAAAAGATCAGTGGAGAAGATAAGACTAGTTAGAAAGCTTGTAAAGGCCCTGTTTGAGAACTTAGGTCCAATCTAAGTCTTGTAAAGGCTCTGTTTGTGAACTTAGGTCCAATCTAATTGTACAATCCATAGGAGAAATGTTTGTCATGAAAAAAAAATTATGTTAGGCATAAAAAAGCAAACTTCCAGAACTTTCAATGTTAATTAAACCAAAAAAGGAAGAGGTCCTAAACTTAAAGATGCAGCTTTAAATCATCAACATTGCATTAGAAAAAGTAACAAAAATTACCAATATGAGTCAAAACTCAAAGATAACAAATTTTTATTCAACCGTTCTTTCATCAGCTAGAAGGATGCATTGGAGTGTTTTTGGTGAAATTACTAATCTCAATAAAATAAATGTTACATGCTGAATTGCAGGCTTACCAAGCATCAAGATGCATTGGAATTTGTTTTCGATGATCCAAGAGTCAGAAACTCCAAACTAATACCTGCGTGTTGGGAATAAATTCCATGGACTTCCTTAAATGGTAACACGAACTTCTTCAAGAACTGAGACTCGGTCACTGAAATGCAAGTTTGAAAGTTGTAATCTGCCTTAATAAATCCTTTCTCCTTCAAGACAATGAGGGTCTTATGCCTAGGCAATATTCTCTTCTCCAGGCTACAAGTTAACAGGTTACACCTCTTTGACAAGTAACTAGGCTCGTAACCCAGCTCGTTCATAAGAAAATCCAATTTTTTCTTGATGGTAGCTTCAGAGAGTGCCAAAAGAAAAGGACTTGATGATGAAAGAGTTGTAATATCAGACTCAGTCCACCCAAAACTTTTAAACACTTCTCGTTTCAACTCAATAGTCTTCTCGCTAACAGAGGTCAGTAACATGATACCGGACAAGAACCGCGGAGACACACTAGAAATCCCCAATTTCTCTCCAACCTTAATCATTGCATTCTCAAAAAAATCGACGTTTCGAAGAAACGGGGATGCATCCCTAAGAAGGCATTTCCGGATTGATTCAATGGAAATTCCATAACTCCGCAACAAAGCTACATTAGGCACCAACACTTTGGGAATACACGAAAGCCTCAAACCATTCGATTTTTTCAGAATTCTAATCACTAGGTGTTCACATCCCATAATTTCTCTCAAAGCTTGGATTGCAGGAACAATATTGGAATCTAAACCCATAAAATATATAGAAGGATTCACCTTTATAAGCTTAGCAAAATCAGACCCAGAGAACCCCAAATCACGAAGAACTTGGGTCTTCGGAGCTAGGATTTTATCAACATTACACAACAAAATTTGGGGTTCAGAAACTACAGCGTTTCGAATATGAGATTGATCCAATCCAATTTGTTTGAAGAATGTAATTACAGAATTAGCATTTTCAATGAAATAGAATTCACTGACCTTTTTTGCACCTCGACCTAAGCGATTCTGAATGAGCTTAGAGGAAGTTGAAAGAGCTTGTTGCTTGGAAAACCCTAGAAAATCAACCAAGTAATTTGTGAAACCAGAGTTGACTTGAGTAGGTATTGAAGATGAAGTTGAATAGAGTAAAAGATGACGGAATCCATGGATGAAGTTGAGAGCTTGGACGCCATTGAAATTGCTGCGAATTTTAAGCATCCCTTCCAAACTCTGTTTTTGTTCTTAGTATGCTCGTTCTAATATAACACAATTACACTGATACTGATACTGATACTGAGTTGGGGGCTAAGGGTTGGGTTCTGGCCGTCGGGGGTGGCTAGGAAGTGTGAACCGCGTCACTCACGATTAGGGGTGTTCAAAATTTGGTCTGGACCGACCCCAGACCAGACCGGACTGAATCAATTTATTCAGCCCGATCTCCAGGTCGAGAAATTTATTTTTCAGTCTTCAATGCGGTCCGGTCCAAAATCTTATAAAACCGGTCTTGACTCAGACCCGTTTTTTTGCTTTAAATTATACTACGTACATAAAATCTTTAATAATAATTAAGATTATCCTTAACAAGCTTGGTAAACTTTAGTCCTATAAGTTTTTTTATACTAAACATACGAAAAAATGACGGCTTTATTTTTTTTCGAGTTTTCCATAAATTATTTGAAATTTAGGAAATTTTTTTATAAAAATTATAAAATCGGTCCAAACTGGTCTGGTCCGGGTTTTGGACCATTTTTTAGTTAGGTCCTAGCTTAATCGGTCCGGTCTTCGATTCTTAAAATTCAATTTTTCGATCCACTTCGGTCTTGTACCGATGAACAGCCCTATTGTCGTGATTAGATGTGTCAATTTGGATACTCGAGTCGGCTTTATCCTAAATTATTGTGTCTATAAGAATTAAAATCTAAAACAGGTATTTTTCGGATTGGATCAATCTGGTACTTTTTGATACCTCTACTCGTAAATAGTTTGGATTTCAATCGAGTAAAGGTTTTGTTTGGTTTGAATTATTTCAAATTAACAAGTTTGTACTCTTAAACCTTCAAGTTTCAAGCTATAAACGAGTTTGAATTTCAATCAATCAGTCATTAATTCAAGAAAAACCATACAATTCTTTTAAAATTTTATTGAGATATATATAAGTTTTTTTTAAATCTCATGGACTAAATGTCGTACGAGTAGTTGCTAAGAGAAGCAATTCTTATTTTTCCTAACAAGGCTTTTCAATGTTTTTTATAAACTACGGAGTATATGACTATTGACTAGCTATAGTTCAAGCTGAGTAAAATTAGTTAAACTTGATGAGACATGTTAGCAATCAACCTAAAATATAGTACTTCCTATCCCAATTGGATACCCTCACCCTAAACATTAGGGTTGAAATTATAAACAACAATGTTCAAGAAAGCTTTGCAAGTATGACACCAAGATTGAGGAAACAAAAATGACTAAATCTTTTTCACATAAACACGGCGTAGCTAAATATGGCAACACAACTTGCCCATAAGAAATTTCAAGCGTGAAGAAAGGAACACTAAGAGGAAGTAGAAACTCTCTTTAGTATGACGCTTGGTTCCTAATTACGGTTAAAACCAAATACCTATAATGATTGTATGTTTAAGACGTGGCTGAACCATTCAAAGACCTTGAGTGAGCAAGGATGCTGAGGCCACCAACAAGCAAGCTAGGTGGTGAACAAGTGATGAAGTTAGAGTTCAAGCTTGGGAGAGAGTTTATGGGAGAATAATCTTTTAAAAATTACATGCGTTTTATAGAACCTGGATTCAAATTAATAATTTTAAGATTTTAACTATACAAACAAAACAACTTAAAATGAAATTATTTAAATATACTATGCGCATTATCAGAGATAAACCTCAGTAACAGTCATTGATCCTAGTATAAGAAAAAAAAATCTTAGTCATTAAAACCAACACTAATAAACACCTTTCTCCATTTCGCTTTAGTTCTTTCCATACTCCCTAGGGTAAGATTCATCATCTCACATCCAATAAATTTGGGAATTGAAGTAATTGGGAATGTTGTTATCATTGTTGTTCTACACCAACGTATCAATGACAATTACCTTGCCACCTTCATCTTTGCTCGGAATTGCCTATTTGATCATCACTGCAATCATGCTATATCCACTGCATTATTTCACTTAGTGCATGGATACAACGACTAAATACTCCCTCTCTTTTTAAAATAAAAGTCTTTCATATACTCAACGTATGCTGAATTAAGAGAGGTAATAGCAAATTGCGGAGTTTGGTTAATCAAAAGTATGTAACTAACAAAAGTGCTAAATGAGGTTTATTCATTAAAAATAAAAATTAAAAAAAAATTAAAAAAAAATTGATAGATTTATTGATTAAATTGACTAAAATAAAAAAGATTTTGCCTCAGTTTTTGACCGATTTTGTGTCACAAAAAAGTTTCCAAGTAGAAAAAACAATAATAATTTTGTATTATGAAATGCAGGAAGTAGCAGAGAAATAGAACCAGTACAATCTACAATAGATAAGTTTATACAGTGGGCTCCTCTTTCATTATTACTACTCCGAAGTGTTAGGAAATACTATGCAAATTCCCTTTAGAATCATATTAGTGGAAATAAAAAATATATATGAATAATACAAATAAATGAACAAATATTTGTATCTCTAATAATGCTGCAAAATTTATTGAAAAAGATAAATAATCCACAAGTGTTCACAACACGTATTATAACTCACAACCAAATAGACCCTAATCACACCCGAGAATAGAAAATTCTCTTAAAGCTTCTCTCTCTGCTTTATGTTTTCTTTTGTTTTTGGGATGAATATAACAAATCATAACTTAAGTTTATATAGATCCTATATTTCTAAATATGACTTCTTAAATTTAGAAAACTATTTTCTTCTTCACATTTCGTAGGAAATCATTCACGTATTGCTAAGAAATTCTAAGACTTATATTTGTTTTCCTTTTTTAAATTGTGGTGATCTTAACAATCTCCCACTTGAAGACTAATTTTAATTTGTCTTCACATCTTACTTCAGCTCAACTTTCTCGTATGTTACTTATGTAGGCCAACTAAAGTTGAACACAACTTCAGTTTGTCAATAGTCACCGTCTTTGTTAACATATCTGTCGGATTCTCAGTTCCTTTAATTTTCTCCAGTTTTAATACTTCATCTTCTAATAGAGATCTTATGAAATGATAGCGAAGTCCAATATGCTTAGTTCTAGAATGAAATGCTGAATTCTTTGTCAAGTGTATTACACTTTGACTGTCACTCTACAATACATTATTCTCTTGCTTGAATCCCAACTCAGTTAATAAAACTTGAAGCCATATCATCTCCTTACTAGCTTCGGTTACCGCTACATATTCAGCCTCTGTAGTGGATAGAGCGACAATCTTTTGTAGTTGCGACATCCAACTAACCGTTGTATTTCCAACCGTGAATATATAACCTGTGGTGCTTTTACGACGATCGACTTCTACTCCAAAGTCTGCATCTGACATAACCTTGTACTGTTAAGTCACCTTTACCAAAGTACAAGCACTTTTCTGTAGTACCTCGTAGATACCTCGAAATCCACTTCACTGCTTCCCAATGAATTTTTCCTGGAATTGACATAAACCTGCTCACAACTCCCACTGCATGTCCAATATCCGATCTGTACAAACTATTGCATACATCAAACTGCCAATGGCTGAGGCATATGGAACCTTAGCCATATAATCTTTATCTTCCTCTGTCCGAGGAGATTGATCCTTGGATAATCGAAAGTGACTTGTTAAGGGTGAACTAACTAGCTTGGCATCACTCATATTAAATCAAATCTCTATAAAACACGTTTGATGTATTCTGATTAAGATAATTACAAAGTACCTTTATGCTTATCCCTTGTAACTTGCATTCCAAGAATTTTCTTTCCTGGACTCAAGTCCTTCATGTCAAATTCCTTTGACAACTGCTCCTTTAGCCTTCTTTTATCATCCATATTTGAACCTGCTACTAACATATCATCGACATAAAGTAGTAGAATGATATAACTGGATTTATATCTCTTGATGTAGCAACCGTGCATAAAGTTATCAAACTTTTTGTACCACTGCCTCGGGGCTTGTTTTAGGCCATACAAATTTTTCTTAAGTTTGCACACCATATTTTCTTTCCCATTTTCTAAGAAACCTTCTGATTGAAGCATGTACATCTCCTCTTCTTAGATCTCCATGAAGAAATGCAGTCTTCACATTTTATTGCTCAAGATGAAGATTTTCAATGGCAACAATACTCAACACTGTTCTAATGGTATTAAGTTTCACAACAGGTGAAAAAATTTCATTGTAGTCCACTCCTTTTTGTTGGAATCCTTTAACTACTAATCGAGCTTTGTATCTCTTGGAACCATCATGCTCCTTTTTCACTCGATATACCCATTTGTTGTGAAGTGCCTTTTTACCCAAGGGTAACTCGGTCATTCCCATGTCTGGTTTGAAATCAAAGAATTCATCTCATCTTTCATTGTAAGCTCCCACTTCCTAGCATCACTTACCTAACATGCTTCATTATAGCATTCAGGTTCCCCTTTATCAGTCAATAACAGATAATTCACGTATTTTTTATTTGGTACATGTGGACGAGTAGTCCTTCTCAATACTGGTGCTGGACTAGAAGTTTGTGGCATGTTGGATTGTGGTGTAAGGATCTGTCCAACAGATTCTTCTAGTTGAGGTTCTCTTATAGGTGAGTCTTTCACAATACTATCGGGGATATAATCTTCACCTACAAACATCGACCCACTCTGCAAGGAGTCACTAGTTTCAATTGTACATGACTCTTTCATTGAAAATCACATCTCTAGTACGAATCATCTTTTTATTTCCATCATCCCATATGCGGTATCCAAACTCATCCTCGCCATAGCCAATGAAAGTACATTTCTTAGATTTATGGTCAAGTTTATTCCTGCCTTAGATCACTAATATGCACACATATGCTACACAACCAAAAACCTTTAAGTGAGACAAATTTATATCTTTTCCAATCTATACCTCCTCTGGTATTTTATAGTCTAATGGAGTCGATGGTCCTCAGTTCATTAAGTAAGCTGTTGTGTTGACTGCTTCTTCCTAGAAGTGCTTCGGTAAACCTGACTTTATACGAATGCTTCTAGCTCTTTCTATCGACGTTCGGTTCATACGCTCAACTACATTATGTTGTGGTGTCTCCGACTGTTCTCTCCATCTTGATCCCATGCTCAAAAACTTCAGATTTTGGTTTTAGGAAGTAAACCCATACCTTCCGGGAGTGATCATCGATAAAAGTGAGAAAGCAGAGTGAACAAGCTCCAACTTTTCCTTCTTTGGGGTTCTACCACTAATTTGAAAGCTTACCCTCTTCTGCTTTCCAAGTATGCATTCTTCACACAAGTCCATATCAATAGGTTCAAGACTTGTGAATTTCCCTTTAGAATGCATTAGTTTCATCCCTTTCTCACTCATGTGGCCTAGTCTTTAGTGCCACAATTTGGAATTTTCAATTTCTACTGCAACTGAAATTGAACAACACGCCCCTGATGTCATGTAAAGAGTGCCACTCTTTTTACCATGAGCAATTGTCATTGCTCCCTTTGAAATCTTCCAATTGTCATCTTGAAAGTTTGTAGTGTAGCCTTCGGTGGCCAACGGCCAACTGAAATCAAGTTGTTCTTAGGTCGGGAATATGCCTGACATTCTTCAGCTCCCAAACTGACCCATTTACTTTTATCTTCACTACACCTTTACCAACAATATCACAAGGTTGGTCATCTCCAAGGTATACTTTTTCAAGGTTTATGAGGACATGCTTCTCAAAGAATTTTTTTCTTTGAAGTAGCGTGGAATGATGCTCCAGAATCTAACACCCAAGATTCTTCCTTGCTCTCTAAAGAGCATATCAATGCATCATCTCCTTCTACGGTAAAAGTAACATTTGCCTCTGCCTTTACTTCTTGGTTTTTCGATGTACTCCTGCACTGATTTTTATAATGCCCTGTCTTCCCACAATTCCAACACTCAATAGACTTCGAGTTTTGGGAATTATTGGGAGTCCTTGATTTTGATCTCCTATCTCCGGATTTACCTCGATAGCTTGATCTTCCACGTTCGTTTCTTTTGGTTGAATTACTTCCTCTTAACTCTGTATGTAAAACTGAACAGGTTGATGATTCACCCGACTCTCTCCGTCGGATCTCTTCACTAAGAACCAGGTCACGAACATTGTCAAATTTCAATTTATTGCTTCCTAACGAGTTACTCACAGCTGTGACTGTAGCATGCATTCCAGCTATATCAATGCTCGAACTTCATCTTCAAAATCAATTTTGACTGAACTCAATTGGGTTGTGATTGAATTGAGTTCATTAAGATGTTGAGCTACCGAACCGCCATTTGTCATCTGCAAACTGAATAACCGCCTCATTATATGAACTTTATTAGAAGTTGATGGCTTCTCATACATACTAGAGAGAGTTTTTATCGAATCTGCCGGGGTCTTTTCCTTTGCTATATTAAAAGCAACATTGCATGATAAAGTTAGTTGAATAACTCCAAGGGCTTGTCTATCTAGAAGATTCCAATCTTCACCTTTCATAACCTGAGGTCCATAAAGCTTTTTCTGGTATAAATAATCTTCGATCTGCATCTTCCAAAACCCAAAATCTGCACCATCAAATTTTTCGAGTCTTACCTTCCTTCGTCTGCAACCATTGCTCCCACTCAAATCTGACTTCTTAGGATCGTTTCTGACGATTTCTACAGAATATCAACTCGGCTCTAATACCAGTTGTTAGGAAATACTATGCAAATTCCCTTTAGAATCAGATTAGTGGGAATAATAATATATATGAATAATACAAATAAATGAACAAATATTTGTATCTCTAATTATGCTGCAAAATTTATTGAAAAAGATAAATGATACACAAGTATTTACAACACTTATTATAACTCACAACCATATGCACCTCAATCACACCTGAGAATTTTCTCTAAAAAATTCTCTTAAAGCTTCTCTCTCTACTTTATGTTTTCTTTTGTTTTTGGGATTTAGGATGAATATAACAAATCATAACTTAAGTTTATATAGATCCTATATTTCTAAATATGACTTTTTAAATTTAGAAAACTATTCTCCTTCACATTTCGTAGGAAATCATTCACGTATTGCTAGGAAATTCTAAAGCTTATATTTGTTTTCCTTTTTTAAATTGTGGTGATCTTAACACGGAGTACTATGTAGAAATAGGTTGAACAGAAACTACAACGCATAATTACAGAAAACTTGCAGCAATTGGACTTTTCTATTCATACTATAACTCCAATAATGTTTATTTTTCTCAAAGTATAACGTTGTCTTACTCTTACAATTACTATATAAAAATCAAATATTATTGTGCAATACACTATATGTTGTTAATTGGTCTCACCGTAATCTTACAAAAGTTACAATAACATATAATTATGGTTAAACTTATGCAGTAATAGGTGTGTCGATGAAACTAATATAAATATTCTAAAACAAGAGTATAACACATCAGTTAAGGTTAGAAAATTATACTATAACATACAAAACATAAGATCATATAGGATGAAGTTGAGTACAAAACCAACTTATATAACCTATTATTTATATACAGAAGAACTTCGGAGTTATCTAACAAGGAAAGGAAAACTAAATGACAATTAGTGATTTTACCTTGAGTAATACATTTTGAGCAGGAGGAACAGCCTCAAACAGATCTTCTCCAACATATATTAAGTTCTTGCCAAACCCTATTAATTCCTGAACCACATGTGGGAGACTAAGCACAACATACCTTAACTCAGGGAAGAGCTGAGCAATGGCCATAGCCTTGGACCATGGTTCCACTGCCGCCATCAACATCAACTAATGACGCAACCCCTCCAATAAGCCTTTGAACTCATTGTTAGAAATCAACAAACTAGAGATTTTACCTTGAGTAAGACGGCTTGAGCAGGAGGAACAGCCTCAAGCATATCACCTCCAATATATATTAAGTTCTTGCAAACCCTAGTAATCCCTGAACCACATATGGGAGACCAAGCACAACACACCTTAACTCAGAGAAGAGCTGAGTGATGGCCATAGCCATGGTTCCACTACAGCCACCAACATCAACTAATGACTCAAACCTTCCAATAGGCCCTTGAACTCGTTGTTAGACATCAACAAACTCATAACATATTGAGTATCACTTGCCATAGCAGCGTAGAAAATCTTGTTAAACTCGAGAACACAAGAGGTATATTCCTATAGTCTTTCTATTAGCAACAAGAATAGGAGTATCATCTTGATTTTGAAACCAATTAGAGAAATTATGTTCGATTCAACATATATTGGAACAAGAACAATAAGTATGAAAGGAGCTAGCGTGAGAGGGTGTTCCTTCAATAAAAGTTGAGACTGGGGAATTTACGGTAAGATCAAAGGCTTCTTTACTACTCGATAATATTTGCATAAGAAAAAGTTGGAATAAACAAGAAGGCACGTTAATCGACCTAGAGAAAGAGCCTTGTATGGATGGAGAGACATTGAAACAGCTAGCTCCCTAAGAGTCATAGGCTTGCAATGCTTCCGAATGGCATCTAAGAAGCATAGCTGCACATTTTAATGCCATGGGGCTTAGATAAGACAAAATATGATTCCATACATGAGTTTGAGCACCCAGTAGCTCTTTGCTGGTTCGTTGGCTGCTACACAAAACTTTCTGACAAATGTAAAATAAACTTTTTGTTTAAGTTAAATGCTAAAGATAGAGTGATAGGTTGCCAGGCTCACAAAACTTTTATGTGGTGTGCATTAATGGTCAAATTAATTCACAATGTTTCATGGGTTGATTATCTACATATGGTAAAATGAAAATACGGCCATAATTTTGTTCATGAAAAAATATAGTGATACAAAATGGTGGGACAAAAGATTAAGACTCAAGGGCGAGGTTGTACACTTATACTTAGACCCCCATATTTATTTCTTTCTGAAATTTGCAGGTATGCAAGTATTTACACAATCTCAATAATGAATCCACCTTTACATATAAAGAACTAGATCTATATGCACTGGATGCGTATTTCAAAATTCAAAAAATATGTATGACAACCATTTTAAAAGAGTGCATAATATTTACTTCATATTAATTTTTATAGGTGGAGACTAGACTCCTTAGGAGTTAACTCTAATAACAGAGTCACAGACTTCAAAGGAGTTGTTAATCTCAGATGCTAAAGAAATTTTGGGTTTTAGCACATGCAACACAACCTCATCTTTTGTGTCTGTTGGATTCATACACAATACAATGACACAACAACAAGAAAAAGGATTACTGATAACTAAAGTAACAGAAGTCTCCCATAGGAAAAGCTATTGACAAAATAGTTTGAGAGAGAAAAATATAAAATGAAAAACAAAATGAATGGAGAATATAAGACTAGTTAGAGTGTGGGAGTTTATGTCTAATCTAATTCTGATAACCTGTACAATTTGGAGGGAAATGTGTGTCATGAGTTGATATATATATTATGAATCACAAAGCAAGCTTTCAGAAATTCAGCCATTAGAGAGCAATGTTAATATAACCAAAAAAAAAAGCTGAGGTCCAAAAGTTAAGTACAGGTACATTCAGGAAACCATAGCATAAGGATGAAGCTCTAAATCCTATCATAGCAATTTTAACACGATACATTACCAAGAATCACCTAGATGAGTAAGAAAAAAACAAAGTTATTCCATCGATCTTTCAGCAGCTAGGAGGATGTATTAGAGTGTTTTTGGTGAAATTACTGAAATCAATAAATTAAATGTTACATGCTAAATTGCAGGCTTACCAAGCATCAAGCAGCATTGGAATCTGTTTTCGATGATCCTAGGGTCAGCAACTCCAAACTTATACCTGCGTGTTGGGAATAAACTCCATGGACTTCCTTAAATGGTAGTACAAACTTCTTCAAGAACCGAGACTCGGTCATTGAAAGGGAAGATTCAAGAAGGTAATCCATCTTAATAAAACCTTTCTCCTTCAATACAATGAGAGTATTATGTCTAGGCAAAATCCTCTTCCCCAGGCTACAAGTCAACAGGTTACACCTCTTTAACAAGTAACTAGGCTCGTAACCCAGCTCGTTCATAAGAAAATCCAACTTTTTCTTGATGGTAGCTTCAGAGAGTGCCAAAAGAAAAGGAATTGATGATGAAAGAGTTGCAATATCAGACTCAGTCCATCCAAAACTTCTAAACACTTTTCGTTTCGACTCAATAGTCTTCTCACTATTACGGGTCAATAAATAGAGACCGGCATAGAACTGTGGAGACTCTCGAGAAATCCCCAATTCCTCTTCAACCTTAATCACTGCATTCTCGAAAAATTCGACATTCTGAAGAAACGGGGATACATCCCTAAGTAGGTATTTCCGGATTGATTCAATGGAAATTCCATAACTCCGCAACAAAGCTACATTAGGCTGCAACAATTTGGGTACATACGAAAGCCTCAATCGACGCGATTTCTTCAGAAATCTAATCACTAGGTGTTCACATCCAATGATTTCTCTCAAAGCTTGAATTGCCGGAACAATACGGGAATGTGAACCCAGAAAAAATGTAAAAGGATTCACCCTTATAAGCTCACCAAAATCAGACCCAGAAAACCCTATATTATGAAAAGCTTGGATCTTAGGAATTAGGGTTCTATCAACATTACACAACAAAATTTGGGGTTCAGAAACTACGACATTTCGAATATGAGATTGTTCCAATCCAATTTGTTTGAAGAATGTAATAACAGAATTGGCATTTTCAACGAAATAGAATTCACTGCCCTTTTTCCTACCTTGACGTAAGCGCCTTTGAGCGAGCTTAGTGGAAGTGGAAAGAGCTTGTTGCTTGGAAAACCCTAGAAAATCAACCAAGTAATTGGTGAAACCAGAGTTGACTTCTGTTGTGAATGAAGATGAAGATGATGTTGAAGTTGAGTAGAGTAGAAGATGAGGGAATCCATGGATGAAGTTGAGAAATTGGACGCCATTGAAGTTGCTGCGAATTTTGAGCATCCTTTCCAAACTCCCTGTTTAGTTCTAACTATGATCTGTTATTCTTTCGGGGGAGTGTTGAGTGTTGACTAGGGCCTAAGGGCTGGGGTTTCTGGATTGCCCGGAAAGTTGAAACCGAGCTGTTCGTGAATGGTTTGGATTTAAATCAACTACGAGATTAGTGATTGAGTAGCACATTTTATGAGTTCAAGTGCGAGTGTTTGTGAGATTAAATGTGAAATATTACACTTTTAGAGTTAGATTTGGGAGAATTGTTTAACTCGAAAAGACGCCTTAACATATACTGTGTTATTAAGTACCTCGTAATGCAGTATTTGATTTGAGTTGAGTTGCTTCAAATAGACAAGATCGAACTCTATACTATTCGTTCGAGCACTTAATGAGTTTGAATCTGGCTCATGAAGATGTAATTTATGAAAAACAATACATATCTTTTAGATTGTATTGAGATTTTTGCATATGACCGACCTAAACAATCAATTTACTACATAGTTACAAAGAGAAACAATTATAACAAGGCATTGTTATGTTTTTAATAAGCTACATAACTAAGATAGAGTTAAAACCAGGTCAAACAATTTAAACTATTACCTGTATTTAAGAAGAATAAAATTTGTTAAACTTGACGAGACATGATAGAATTCGCCTTGAATTGTTGCTAGCCATGTGTTAATTACTTCAGATGAGGTTAGTTTTACACTTATCAGCTATTCCCTTACCAATGGGCATGTGAAACAAAACAAATTGCTCGGGGTTGGGGTTTTGAGATTGTTTACAATAGATTAGAAATAATCGATAGTTAGGTGGGCATAGAAATCCAATCAAGTTAAGGGAGAAATTAGCTAGATAACTAGATAAGTTTTAGTTAATTCTTCACCAAAGTCCACCTCTACTTTACAAAATTATAAAACATAAAAATTTAGGAACATCACTTGGATCAGATGAGATTGGATTAATATAGATGTTAATTACACTTAAATAGTTAAAACCATTTCCATTACAAAACAAGGCAAATAAGAGACAATTTCCTCTTCTATACAGTTCACTCCTTACAATGGTAAGATTCTTCATCTCCATGAGGAATGATATACTAACTGTCATCTCCACATCCAGCAAAAATGGAAATGTTGTCCTCGCTATTGGTCTCCATCATCATATCTAAAATAATTATCTTGCCTCTTAAGTCGTTGCTACGAATTGCATCGTTGCACCATTGAAGTATCTTTAATCAAGGAATCAATTATCATGACTCGAATCATGCAATCCTTAGCAGCCTTCTCAAAAAGCTTCTTCCTCATTATGATCTACTCCCACAGTCTGACCCCTGACAAAATTTGGATCATAACTGGTCAGTTAGATCATATGTATAAGTTTAATCTGAATAAAAGAGATTAAAGAGAAATCTAACTTTATTAAAGGAGTAACATACAGCATCACACCGAAACAAAAAGAGAAAAGATTCACAAAACCGCAAGTGCAGAAGAAACAACAGTCACAAAAACACTAAGCAGTATTTGCTATGACAATAACAATAAAGCTTAATAAGAGAAAGCTAACAAAGTCAGGGAAGTCCAGCTTCCTTTATGACTGTATTAGCAATTCAGTACCAGGCCTTAAGGAGTCAAACAAAATCTTCAAGTTCTTGATAATTGTGACTTGAAATCTAAATGCAACAAAATCCTCAGCTAAAAAATATTATAATACAGATGGTAAATGGGCAGATATAACAGTGTATTAGAAGTTTAGAACAACACAGCCTGCAAGTAAGAATTCATAGATATCTAGCTTAGGTTTAGGGTCTCAAATAAGAAGAGAAATAAAATTAGTTTATAATCATAAATGAGATTGCTAACAGGAGCAATTCACAAATGAACCTTCTAACAGGAGCAATTCACAAATGAACCCTCTAACAGGAGCAATTCACAAACGAACCAATATTTCCTCAATAAATTCGGATAAGCCTTTGAATTCTCACTTGACTATGATTTATAGCTAGCTAGCTTATTCTATTAAAAACTCTTACTAAGTATACATAATTGATCCTTTTAAAACTGCTACGGAAAACCAGCAAAGGCTCACTCTTTCTAAGAGAAATAGGACAGTGATTCCTCATTCCAATAAGGAATAATAGGCAAGAAAAGCCCAACAAAGCAATCACAGATTACAGTAACCAACATCTGCAAAAATAGGGCAAGATCAACCACAGACCAAAAGTTAATACAGGTACATTCAGGAAACCATAACATAAGGATTAAGCTCTAAATCCCATCATAGCAGTTTTCAACATGATACATTAACAAGAATCACCAAGACGAGTAAAAAAAACAAAGTTATTCCATCAATCTTTCAGCAGCTAGGAGGATGCATTAGAGTGTTTTTGGTGAGATTACTGAACTTAATAAATTAAATGCTACATGCTAAATTGCAGGCTTACCAAGCATCAAGCAGCTTTGGAATTTGTTTTCGATGATCCTAGAGTCAGCAACTCCAAACTAATACCTGCGTGTTGGGAATAAACTCCATGGACTTCCTTAAATGGTAGTACAAACTTCTTCAAGAATCGAGACTCGGTCATTGAAACGGAAGATTCAAGAAGGTAATCCATCTTAATAAAACCTTTCTCCTTCAATACAATGAGAGTCTTATGTCTAGGCAAAATCCTCTTTTCCAGGCTATAAGATAACAGGTTCCACCTCTTTGACAAGAAACTAGGCTCATAACCCAGCTTGTTCATAAAAAAATCCAACTTTTTCTTGATGGTAGCTTCAGAGAGTGCCAAAAGAGAAGGAATTGATGATGAAAGAGTTGCAACATCAGACTCAGTCCACCCAAAACTTCTAAACACTTTTTGTCTCGACTCAATAGTCTTCTCACTATTACAGGTCAATAAATAGACACCGGAAAAGAACTGTGGAGAGAGTCGAGAAATCCCTAATTTCTCTTCAACCTTAATCACTGCATTCTCCAATACCTCAATTCTCCGAAAAAACGGGGATGGTGACCTAACAAGGAATTTCCGGATTGATTCAATGGAAATTCCATAACTCCGCAACAAATTTATATTAGGCACCAACAAATTGGGAACACTAGAAGGCCTCCAACGACACTTTTTCTTCAGAAATCTAATCACTAGGCGTTCACAACCCATAATTTCTCTCAAAGCTTGGATTGCAGGAACAATATTGGAATGTAAACCCATAAAATATATAGAAGGATTCAACCTTAAAAGCTCAGAAAAATCAGACACAGAAAACCCCAAATTACGAAGAACTTGGGTCTTAGGAATTAGGTTTTTATCAACATTACACAGCAAAATTTGGGGTTGAGAAATAACGGCATTTCGAATATGAGATTGTTCCAATCCAATTTGTTTGAAGAATGTGATAACAGAATTGGCATTTTCAACGAAATAGAATTCACTGACCTTTTTCCTACCTTGACGTAAGCGATTTTGAGCGAGCTTAGTGGAAGTGGAAAGAGCTTGTTGCTTGGAAAACCCTAGAAAATCAACCAAGTAAATGGCGAAATCAGAGTTGACTTCTGTTGAGATTGAAGATGAAGATGATGTTGAAGTTGAGTAGAGTAGAATATGACGGAATCCATGGATGAAGTTGAGAGCTTGGTAGCCATTGAAGTTGCTGCGAATTTTGAGCATCCCTTCCTGTGTTTGTTGTAACTGGAGTATTGACTAGGGAGTAGTTCCTAAGGGCTGGAGTTTGGGCTTTGGGACTCTGGAAGTCTGGATTGCTTCGATTACATCCGTTATATGTTACGTGTAACTTTTAAGCAGTATATATATAATATGTAATGAAAGTAGTATGTTATTTTATATACATTCCCGACTTTCTTAAAAAATACTACCTAGGTTTGGGGCGGGATTTAAGAAAAAGCGTAAAAGATGGACTATGTTAAAAGTGTTTATGTCAAAAAAAAAAAAAGACAAATGGGAGATAGAAATGGTGGAATAAAAGTATCATAAAACAGTAAGAGAGGTTGTTATAACATGTGAATAAGGATAAATAGGGAATTTCGTGTGTTAACACGACCAAAAAGTGAAAAAAAAAATACTCCGTCATAAGAAATGGTGTAATTAATATGAAATTTTTCAAAGAGAAAAATGGTACAAATAATATGCAACTTCTAAAAAGGAAAATGATACAATTAAAAAAACGGAGAAAGTATAAAAATGGATGTTAAAAAAGTTCGGATTATTATGAAACGAATTGAATAGTGTTTTACACATCTTCCTAACCAATAAGCATGTCAAACAAAACAAATTGCTAGAAATGTGGTGTTGAGATCATTTACAAGAGATAAGATATTGTTTTGAAATAGTTATGATTTCCCCTAACCGATAGGTATAGTTTTGAAAGAGTCAAAAGTGTAATTAAAAAAAAAAAACAAAGAAAGTACTTCGTATAATTTGCAATACTCATAGTTAAGTTAGGCAAAGAAATCTAATCAAGTTAAAGGAGAAATTTCCTAGACAAGTTTTAGACAATTCTCCGCCAAAGCCCACATCTACTTTACCAAATTCTTCAACATAAAAAATTAGGAGCATCACTTGTTAGGCAAAGAAATCTAATCAAGTTAAAGGTGCATCGTTGCACCATTGAAGTATCTTTAATCAAGGAATCAATGATCACGACTCAATCCTTAGCAGCCTTCTCAAAAAAATTCTTACATATCATGATTTTCTCCCACAGTCTGACCCCTGACGAAATTTGGATTGTAACTGGTCAGTTAGATCATATGCATCAGTTTAATCTGTATACAAGAGATGAAAGAGAAATCTAAGTTAATTGAAGGAGCAACATACAGCATCACACAGAAACAAAAAGAGAGAAGGTTAATAAAACTGAAAGTGCAGAAGAAGCAACAGTCACAAAAACAATAAAGCTTAAAAAGAGAAAGCTAACACAGTCAGAGATTCAGCAATTCAGCACCAGGCCTTAATCAAACAAAATCTTCAAGTTCTTGATAATTGTAACTTGAATTCTAAATGCAACAAAAAATATAAACCCTCAGCTTTAAAATATTAAATACAGATGGTAAATAGGCAGATCTAGCAGTACATTAGAAGTTTAGAACTACACAGGAACACAGCCTGCAAGAAGCAATTAGGCCATTTATAGATAGCTTAGGTTGGAATAGGGTTGCAAATAAGGAGAGAGAAAAATAGGTTCAATTTGCCAATTTCTAATCATAAACGAGATTGCAAACAGGAGCATTTCACAAATGAATTTTCTAACAGGAGAAATTCACAAACGAAACAATATTTCCTCAGTACATTCGGATAAGACTTTGAATCCTCCCTTGACTATGATTTATTGCTAGCTAGCTTATTCTAGCAAAAACTCTTACTAAAAGTATACGTAATTGGTCCTTTTACAAACAACTAGGGAAAACCAGCAAAGGCTCACACTTTCTAATAGAAATAGGACAGTGATACCACATTCCAAAAAGGAAAAATAGGCAAGAAGAGCCCAGCAAAACAGTCACAGATTATAGAAACCAATATCTGCAAAAATAGGCGAGATCAGCCACAGGTCCACAGTGATTTCCAAATCTTTAAGCAAATATCACTAAATTGCAGACATTTCTTTTCCAGGAAAGCAAACCAAACAAAATATGGTGTCTTTGTAAAACGCAATTGAATCACAGCCACCTTGCTGATGAGGCAACTGACTAACAGAATGAATAGAAAGTTAAACATTCCCTCCATCCCTCTATAATAATAGGGCTCATTTGGTTAGTGGAATTATTCAGGAATCGGGTAGTAAGATACAATATTCTTGATTATTCAAGAAGATTTGAGAATAAGCGTATATCTGATTATATTTTGTAATAAACCCAGTACAAGGAGCAGCACTATGAGACAAAACTAATTAAGGAAGCACTAGGGACTTAAGGAGTGTGGCAACATAGGACTGAATTTTGATACTCTTGAACAGTAGGGGACAAACATTATTAATATTAAGTTATTTTGTAGTTTTGCTTGAATATAAAGGGAATTAGCATAGCAGTAGAAAGGTATGAGCCTTGTATTGTGGTCTGTGGAATGAGAGAGAATGGTAACCTCGGGTAACTAAGAGAGTGATAACCTTAAGTTATCAAAGAGAGTAATAATAGCCTAAAGCTATTAACCTATCATTTGTAACCTCTTTTGCCATTATCAATCAAAACTTCAAGCTTTCATCTATATTTATTTGCCTTGTTAAATCAGAAATACAAAGTCAGATAAGCAGTGTATTACATATATCATGCACAGCAGCACAGGAACAGATCTCAGCACTAACACACAAACAGTTTCTGATTATCTTGTAAAAAGACTCAACTTACATTTTCTACAAAATACTAACTGATCATGCCTCTCTTCCATGCTGAAATTTCCGAAAACACATACTTACTAAGAATCAGCAATACCTCTACTAGTATACAACAATCGTATCTTGCCTCTTTTCAAGTAGTTAAACAATACAGCACAAAAAACCTTAAAGCAATCACGTCAGCACACCAAGTAATTTGTTGGGCACTGATCATATGTGAATAGAGTGACGAGAGCCTGGTAGTAAGGATAATATGGGAAAGTTCATAATTTAATCTACTTAGTACGGAAATTTGGCCTATTACTTTGAGAGTTGAGACATACCAAACTGGAAACGTGGCCAGTTAGAAGGAAAAGAGAGTAAGTCGGGTACAATAAAGCAAGCTTCTTTAACAACCCAATTTTCAATTGCATGCAACAGAATATACTTTATGTACCCAGCCAGCTAATACTTAACCCCTCCTCCCCCCCCCCCCCCCCCCCCCCCCCCCACCCCAAACTCACCCACCCACCTCTCAGCCTCATTTGCATCAGGTTTGAATATGGGTTACCAAATTAATTGATCAAAATGCTATACATAACTACATACGTCTGCCAATACTTTCCAAGTAAACACCCCCTTCCCCTGGAAAAAGAAAATATGAAATCAGTAGATAGGTATGTCAATAAAAAAAACGAACTATTATAATAGCCCCGAATCCGGATTAGCCCAAAGAGTGAACCGGTTGGAAACACCAAAAAAGAAATGAAGCACAGGAGAATGTAGCAATTGTAGGCTTGTAGCCAAGACAATGCTATAAAAGATTGTAATTTGAAAGTTCGAGTACTTTTATGAGTACCAACAATTACATCCATATTCAAGAAACACTAGTAATCAGCTATTACAGAGAAATCTAGCATTTGACAACAAAGACTCCTCAACAGAAAAAATCACTACCAAGAACAACTAATTCTATCATCTATTTTTGTAATTTCATCTGCGATAATAAAAAGAAGGTATGGCCCAAATGAAAAATCAATCATACTTCATATATTGTACAATGCTTTTTACCTATCAACCAACAGCAATTGATAGCTGATATCATCTTCAGGGCTTGTCACCTGCTCTTCCTTCATTTGAAGGTTTCACAGAAGAACGAACCTCGGCGAATCACGAGGAATACCCATATATTTTTCAGCCCTAATCAAGAAACCCTTTAACTTTTCAGTCTTCCTCAATAAAGACTGTGATTGATAAAAAAGGCGTTTACGAATTAAGTCAATGGAGACTCCATAACTCCGCAACAAAGCAACATTAGATATCAGATTGTTACTCATACCACTAAGTGACTTCCAAATTCCAATGTGATTTCTTCATAATAGGAATTACATTTTCATCAATTACCCATAACATCCTTCAAAGCTTTAATTGCCTAACAAATTGACAATGACCCTTCAGCAATACACAAAAATTTGATTTTTGGTTGAGGTATATCAAATACCTGGGTGAAAGCCATCATGTCCTTACTATTTTCGGGGTTAACTGGGCAAACCGTTCAAATACAAAACGTCCTCTAGAGTGACGTTCATGTATTGACCACAAACCCTAAAACAGCATATTGTACACTGTACTTAGTAAATTTACAAAACATATAAGTTGCCTCTTAAATTATACAAAGTACTTAGTATGAACAGCAAAAAAAGTCCTTCATCAAATTTTGCACTTTAACCATTGGGTTATCAAGCTGGAGAAATCATTGACATGAGCTTAATAAAAGTTAGGAAAAATACACTTTAATAATCCCAACACTTGGCAATTAACTTCTAATAATCCCAACTAAGGAAATAGTTGCGATAATTAAAATGTATTTTTCCTATATTTGTAGATCAGTTCAAGAAATGTGTTTGATTTAAATTATCTGAAACTCCAAATATGTCATCCTCAGCTTTATAGAAATCGTATGAAACAACTGTTTACCATATGAATTTTGCTAAATGAAGTAAAGGACTTAAAATTGAAAGGGAGTATAACATTTGCAGTGTGATTATTAAGGCCGACTTGACTGACTCAAGAGCTTAGGGTGATCAAGCTAGAAACAAATGAGGGCGAAAAAATCGTAAGAAAACCACATCTCTCTCATAAACTGCAGCATATTGTAGAGGGGTTACACTCAAACTCGATATCTACAAAACCACTATCCTCTAAGGCTATTCATGAGGCATGTGGTAAAGGAGGGGAACACCATATTTATACTGTATAATAAATCATGTATAACTCAAAAAAAAGATAAAACCCAAAAAAAAAAAAAAAAAAAAAAAAAAAACATATGGGACGAAGAAAATGGGGGGAAAATTCAAGATATTAACAATCAGAACCCTTCAACACTAGATCTTCGGAATCCCACTGATGATGATGATTTTCGGGCCTCTTGGCGTTCAATGTCATCCAATGAAAGAAGTGAAGAACAAGCACGAGGAGGAAGTGATAAGGGCAAAGTGAATGGCCTTGTTGGAGAGACGGAAGAGGTGTTGGCCCTGGATGGTGAGGGGTGAGAAAAACTCTGGCGAGATGGTAGACTGGGTGATCGAAACATCTGCTTTCCAGCAACAGTTCCTGGTTCTTGAAGAGGAAACCGGCAGGAATGTTTCATATCTTGTATTGATTTAAGGTTCTCCACTACTTTTCTCATTGTGGGTCTCTCTGAAGGGTCCTTCTGAAGACATTTTTGAGCTATATCAGCAACTGTTTTTGCTGCTTTTATGGGAAATCGCCCTTTCAGCTGAGGGTCCATTATTAAGGAGAGCCTACATTCATCGGCAAGGAATGGCCAACTCCATTTGACCAAGTTCCTCTCCTCTTTGGATCGTCGACTATCCATATTCTTCCGTCCAGTGAGAACTTCTAGGAGAACTATTCCAAAGCTGTAAACATTGCTTTTAGGTGTAAGTAACCCTTTCTCCACAGTCTCCACAGAAAGATTTCCTAGTGCCTGAAAATCAGGTAGCAAAACTTGTTACCGCTTTTAGATGATTGGTTTCGTAAAACAAAAACCACATTCCTCTACACGATGATGGTTCAACCAAACTTAGGGATATTATTTGTGTTCATCCTTAGTACGCAGGGTTATTGAGAGGGCAAGCAGAATATAATAGGTAAAAAATCATCACTATAAAATCTTGATTATGTATTCATTAGGGAGAATAACATCCAAGAGTTGTCGGTTAGGGAGCAAATGATTAGTATATTTAGTATTTTCTCAACTCAATCTCATGGTTCTAGAGACTATTTCAAAATGGTTTGTATAGCATTACGAGACAAACAATAAGTTATTTTTATGTTTATCACTTTCAACGCAAATCTGTAATCATCAACAACAAGATTATGACCTATTATACCAAGAGCAATAGCAGCATTACTCACCGAAGAGGTATTGGAGATATCTGTTTCTGGAAGGAGGCCAACACAGCCATATCCTGACAGCTTTGCACTAAAATCCTTGTCAATCTGAATATTTACTGCAGTAAACTCATTGTACATTGCCTGCAGAAGTAGGAAGATAGTTTTCATCAGGCATACAAGCTTTTACTCTCTTTCACAACTTAGAGCAATTGATTTTGTCAACAATGAGACGATCAGACAAATAGAGACAAATACCCCAAAGGCTGTGCTATACAAAACTTTTCTTTGAAAGTTTCAAAGCATTATTGTCACAAGGCTAGATGTTTTTATGAGTATATAATAAGCTCAAATAGACAGCAAACATTGCTTATTTTCATATAATGCCAGAAAGGCATGGATATAAATAGCAATTACCTGGAATGGACCTTGCTCATGTAAGAAGGTAAGTCCTTGAGCGGCACATAAAGCTACTTTTATTCTGGTATTCCAATCAATCGGAGGGCCATCTGATCTACCATATAATAACCGATCTAAGCTTCCATGGTGTAGCCTTTCATAGACCAATATCCTCTGGTCAGAGCCATCTCGTGCATGATAACCAAGCAGCTTACATAGGTTGGGATGTTGAAGAGATGCAAGTGTGTTCACCTCATTCACAAAATCCCTTAAACCCTATAAGACCCAAACAACAGCATGTATTGTGTTAGTATTAATCCTCAAAATGAACTTGCTGTGTAAAATTTCTCAAAAATATTGACGATTATAGTCTCATTGCATGCATATAATACAATGCAAAAACAAGTTACCTGAGCTGTAGGATAAAACCGGGTAACAGTGGCCTCAATCTTTCTCACACTAGAAGAAGCATCACAGAAGGAAGCCTTAAACATAGTTGAAGAAAGACTCTCGGATGTACAAGTTTCTGATGAAATACTGTGGCAGGCAGATGTAATTTCTTCATAGGAAAAATTTCGAAGTGTTCCTGATGGAGGTAGAGGCAGTGGACCTGAAGTACATAAGGGGCCACTGGAATTTCTCACTTTGAAGCTTCCTGTACCTTTCAGGGAACCAGAAACATGAGGCGAAGGAAGCGGGAGAGGCTGTGGACTAGGCGATCTTTGTTCTTGTGGTAATAGTACATGGGATCTCGGCTCTTCTCTCTCTTCACATTCAATTGATGACAACTCTCTATCTCCATGAAAACTTGATGGCGCAGAA